TCATCTATCTATCTATCTATCTATCTATCTATCTATCAATCACCTATCTATCTATCTATCTATCTATCTATCTATCTATCTATCTACCTATCATCTATCATCTATCTATTTTTGTACAGGGGAGAGTGCAAACACAGTCCCCTACTACCAGAGATTTATGCAGTCAACTTTGCCACATTTGGGGAAATCACTGGGGTCAGCACATCTGAAGTGCAATGGATGAGCCTCACCCTGGGAAAACCACCTTCGTGACCATGGTATCGCCCCTGCCAGGTAAGCACGCTCCTAAGAATTTTAGTCAGGGATTTAAGCCACTACTAAATAATGTCCAAAGAGAGTAAATCTCTGATCTTGATGAGAGTGTTACAGAGCCAGACTCCCGTTTCTTTCTAAGGTGGATTCTCCCAATGTCTCTTTCAATCTGAGAATCACAACAGTAGTCCTCTCTATTGGATACCAGGGTAGAGGTGCAGAATGAATTTATGCTTTCAGGAAAACCAGATTGGAATTCAGTATTAGTGTGGAGTCTTCTTAGTGTGACCTTGGGCAAGTTATTTAATCATTCTTAGTTTCATTTCATTCATTTATAAAATGGAGATAAAATACCTACATCAAACAGTGGAATACATTAATTAAGAGTTTGCCCTGAGGCTGTGTTACATAATAAGGGCATTGTTAGAAGACTGCAGCTGAATTTTTCTTCCATTTTACATTCAAGAAGCATTAAATCTAAATAATTGGTTCAGTTTTTTTTTTTTTTTTTTTTCCTTAGAGAAGGACATTATCGACATATCCATGCTGGTGTGATTTCAGTTTTAGTTTTAGTTTATAACTTTTAACTGACAGACTATGAAAAATAATAAACACTGCATCACCTATTAGTATTGTGGTAGGTCAACTGTTTATCCTCTTTCATAATTTCAGTGGCTGATTTTCAGAGTTTCATAATTAAATATTTTATTTTAAGATATTTTACTTATTATTTTATGTGTATGAGTGTATTGCCTGCATGAATGTAAGTATACCTGGGTCCTGCAATGCCTGCAGAGGTCAGAAGAGGGCGTTGGATTCCCAGGAACTGGAGTTGTGGATGGTTGTTAGCCACCATGTGGGTGCCGGGAATGGAACTCTGCAAGAGTAGCCAGTGCTCTTGACTACCTAACCCTATCTCCAGCCCCCATATTTTATTTCTTGTACTTTTTTCCTTTCTTGTTTGAGAAATTGGCCCAAGACTTTTTTTCAAGTCATCACCAATTATATATGTAGAAGATATTAATTAGAAGTTCCTTGACATTTGTAATTTGTATGACAAATAAAATCCATTTTTTTTAATTTAACAAAATTTGAATGGTAAGAACGAAAATATATGAAGTCAGGCATGATAATGCATGTCATTAATCCCAGTGCTTGGGAGGCAGAGACAGATGGATCTCTGTGAGATGGAGGCCAGCCTGATCTACATGGTGAGTTCCAGGTCAGCTAGGGCTACAGTCAGACCCTGTCGCAAAATTGACTAAACAAAACAAAAGAAAATATGTCGATTACAGTGTCCAAATCATGGTCTCTGGAAATCCTAAGTTACTCCTTTATTATCTGATGTAACCCCTGGTCTTTGGCTGTCTTCTGTATCTGTGTGTGGCACGCTTTCAGAAAGAGCTCAACCTAGCTGTCTGTCCTAATTGCCTAAGGAACTATTTCAGATGTTGATAAGTTTTTGTTCAGTCAGCACACTGATGGCCAAGGGGGTAGACTAGAGGAGAAAGATCAAAATCAAGACAGTCATGAAAGGCAAGGGTTAGAGAAGAAAATGAAGTGAGATTTTGTTTTTCAAAAGAAGAGGCAGAAAAATGAGAGAATGAGGAAGGGGGGGTTTAGAAAGAGGTGGAGGTCAGTCATGAAAAATTTGTCCCACAATTTGGTAAAAAATCCTAATAATTTACTGGGTGGCACTACAGTTACCATATTATTCTGGGTTTTAGGGAAAGAAATGATTAGCATTTGTCATCTGAAAAATGTTGAGGGAAAGCGAACATTTCTAAATTATTAATAGTTTATCATAATCAATACATAGTAATATAAATCTTTTAAGCTCCCAAATAGGTAAGAATAAATAGCAAGCCAAACACAGAAAATTTAAATTACGTAAAACTGGATTTTAAACCTGACTGTTGTTTATTATGTAGTTTGAGGCAAGTTACTAATATTTTCTGTTCTGGGATGAAAGGCTATGAATGCACGTCTCACATACATTTAAGACGATCAAAAAACAATCTTGGCCCAGGACTTGACCCAGTGCACGCCTTAGAATTGGTATATAAAGAACTGTGATGCTTTTGCGTGAAGTTCATTCTGTCATCAGTGACCTGGCTAGTCAGCTTCATGTCTTTGCTCATAGAGTAGACAATGGTTGCATTTTGACCTCAGAGTGCTGAGGAGGACACAGTAGCAAATGTCTTCCTGTTTTGGCACAGAGTTAGGTGACTACACAGTCCTATGTCTGACACATCATCTTGTAATTAACAGTGAATGGCAAAACTGTTTGTTTATATAGCCAATTAACTGAATGACCAGTTTTCAGGGATGTATTGTACAAGGAGCTTGATCAAATAAAGGTTGGATTGATGGCCAACAGCTGTGAAGCTGGCATAATAAAATACCCTTGTTGAAGAAACACCTGTTAAAAGGACACCTTAGTACAATGTGGTAGCATGTTTAGGAATTTCCCAATTCTTTCTCCTGAAAATAACATATTTTGGGTGAGTTTTGGTCACTTATAATTTTTAAATCTGAATTTGTTTGCAGAAATACTTTGCGATATACGGACTTGTAAAATGTCCTTCCCACAATCAGAAGGGCTAAAGTTTGGCCAGTGCTTTAAGATCTAGGCTAGAGTCATGCAATTTGCTATTCTAAAGCACTCCCCAAGGTTTAAACAAGAAAATTCAATTTGTTTTTCTCCTCAGACACCCTGACTACAATATCTGGCTATGGATTAGTAAAAGTTCTGAGTTTGTCCAAATACTGACCCCTCGTTTGTCTTAATCATGGTTTCTAAATGTCTTGGGTGGTAGACAGCAGGCATGCTCAGTATTGATTCAGCCCCCAAGCCAGTGCTCTACATCATAACAAAATGAACCAAAGAAAGCTTGATTATTTACTTAGAAAACAAGAACTCCTCATTACTTATCTAAACTAGTACCTGCACAAGAGGATAATTAGAAAATGTACATCTTCACTGTAGACAACAGCTGTTTATGTGAACCATTGCTCCATGGTCACACTTTTGTTGCTGTGTTTACAAGTGTTCGCTGTGTTTTGAGGGTTCATCAGATTTGATTTCCAGTTCTTTTGTCTGTCTTCAGTTTAATAAATGGATTGCTGGTTTGGAGGTCTGAGGCCCCCAAAGTCTCTGGGCTTCTGTTTTCTTTTCCTCTAATTGCCCTTCTGAACTAATTACCTCTCTGAATTGTTGTGTAGTGTTTTGATGAGTACAGATGACTTTTCCAGATAAAGTAAAGTACAAAGCATTGTGCATAAATAAGAAATCAATTTGTGTGTTTTTAAGGACAATTCCATCTTGGGGATTTGGGCACGTGTTCTTGGAGATCTGCAGACAGGTGGCCTCCATTAATGGATTACCAGCATCCTCCATTTCCCTTTGACCCAGTTCTCTCAGGAAGTACTGCAAGGACCCTGTAAATCTTATGGAGAGGAGACAGGGAGGAAAGATACTCATAAGAGGCTCAGTGGGTCCTACAGCTAATGTCATGCCCGGTAGTATCAGTGACAGGTTTATAAGCAGCTGCCATAACTGGTTTGGAACCTGACTGAAGAAGCAGCTGCCAAAGCGGATGGCTCACACTGAGCCATTCTGTGCATTTCACTATGCACAAACCTTATCAGAGAGGAGGCTGAGAGAGGCAGAACGAGGAGCTCTCTTATCTATAGCTTGAGAAGACACATTTAGATATTCCAGAGACGGAGGAGGAGCAGTGCACAGAAAAAATGCTGAGTAAAATTCCTCAGTCCCTTGCAGATAAGGTTTGCCAAACATGAATACAAGGAGGGAAAAGAAATCCACTCTCTAACTTTGGCACTGGTAGTCCGTCCACACAGGAAGATTCAGACAAAAACCCATGCCAGCAAAGGAAGTTTATGCCAGTTACAATAACGGTTAAGTGCTCTACTGCTAGTTACCCTCTAGTTCTTTCCACATGAACAGAATGTTCTCTCCCATCATGAAACAGACTTGGCTCTGGTCTGACGACAATTTTCCTCATTGTCCGCATCCCTGAGGACAGATGCACTTCCAGTCGGCCCTTGTTGAGGAGTATGGCATAATAGGCCTGCAACAACAAATGGCGTTGAAGATTAAACAGGGGTCTCACCTGTGACTTAGTTATAGCGATACTGTGCCAGAACCACATATTTGTCAGCCCTGAGATCTTATTGGTGAAGTAAAAACTCTACGTTTTCACGTGTGTGTGTCTGTGTGTAGCCCATGCATGCACAGGGAAGCCAAAAGAGGATATCACATGGTCTGCTATATCACTCTGTCTTACCACCTTGAAACAGTCTCTTGTTGAACCTGGAGCTAGGCTGGCAGCCACAAGCCCTAGTAAGCTTCCTTCCTCTGTCCCCCATTTCCAGTGTTGTGGTTGTAGGTGCTTATGTGCTACCATCAGCTTTTTATGTGGGTTCTGGGGATTCGAAATTGGATCCTCATACTTGCACAGCAAGTGCTCTTATCCGCTATTCTAGTTCACTTCTCTGTTGCTGTGATAAAACACTGACCAAGAGCAACTTAGGGAAGGAAAGGATCTATTTGGTTTGGAGATTACAGTTCATCATTGAGAAAAGCCAGGACAAGAGCCCTGGGAAGGAACTGACACAGAGACCATAGAAGAGTGCTGCTTACTGCCTTGCACCCAGGCTCTCACTCAGCAACCTTCTCTATGCAGCCCAGGGATACCTGCCCAGGGATGGCACCACTCACAGTAGGCTGGGCCCTTCTACATCAATTAGCAATCAAGGAGATGCCTCATAGATATCAATACAGGCCAATCTGATGGAGGAAATTCTTCAGCTGAGGAGTCCTCTTCCCACATGGGTCAAATTGACAACAAAGATTAGCCAACACACCCACTAAGCCATCTCCCCAGCTTCTCAATATTTTCTTAAACAGAGTTGGTAAGGTAGCTTGTAATGTTTTTGATCATTTACCATTTTTGTTTGTTGGATGATGGGGCAGGTAGATGTTGTAATACCAGTTGTCTGTCAAGCAGGTTGTGATGTTGAATGTAATGCTCTGCTTGCCTTGGTCCTCTAACTTACAAGACCCATCAAGAATCAAAGGGTGTTAACAAAAATCGCTCTCTTTTATACTCATAAGTGGGCAGCTAGCATGAAGTCTGCTTCAATCTCAGGGCATTTGAGTATTTAGACTTCAATTTGTTCTCTAAACTGGTGGAATAGATCACAGTCACAAACATGTAACCTGTCTCCCACATTTAGAAAGAGACACAATTTTCTATCCACAAACATACCTGCTTTTTTTTCCTTGTTACTGTTACCATAGCAACCTGTATGTTTTTGATATCTGATTATGAACTCTAGGGAGCTGGATGCAGCCCTCATTCCCAAAGCTGATGTCATGAGCATTCTCTTCTGTGTAGTACCAGGGTACCTGCTGTACACACAGGGATCATTTGGTCTTCCAAGAATAATTGATGGTGATAGAAACCATGATGATGGTTTCCATCACCGTCATCATGTCTTCAAGAATTTGCCAGGATATCTATGCAGCCTTGTGTCCAGTACACAATGTGCTGTGCTCTGGATTAGCACACAGCATTCCCCAAAGGGGCAACCACAAGCCACTTACTCAAAAATATTTTAGTTGATTGTTTAATATCTCAAACCCCTTTTGGTGAACACAATCATAAATAACCCTCTGGATATCACAACTGTTAGTTTTCACATACAAAATACATCACTTTAGTCAGCGTGCATTCTACAACAGATATAAACAATTTAATAGTTTCCTCCTTCAGATAGCAATTACTATGCAATTTAAAAAACTAGATATTCATTACCATTAAATGTTTGGAGCATTAAAATTTCATTTCTGATGTACTTTGTACTATTGTACTTATTGTTTTCTTATGTTAATTGTTTTAAGAATTCTCCTGAAAGCTGTTGGTTTAATTTCATTTATTTAGCGCTAAAGAACAAAAACGTGGAGCTGATAAGTGGTGCTTAACTACTTGGCAGTGGCCAAGGGAACAAATATCCTTTAGTGAAAATTCCAGTATTTTTGGTCTTGTCCTTTTAATGTAACCTGATTATCATTTGTAAGAGTGAAAACATTTTTTTTATTTTTCAGGATTATAGAATAAAGGATTTGGCAGCATTTATATTTTATATTTATTCGGTGATTATCATGTGCATTGAGAAACAACTGACACCTTTTCTCCCTCCATGTTTCAAGAAATTTTTAAAGACTTTAAAATTGTGTGTATACGCAATTGTTTTTGCCACAGTTTGGTGTGTACATGGGCACGGAGTTGCCACCTTGAAGAGAATGCATCTGCTTAACTTTGTAAGATGGAGCCAAATCAGGGACCAAAGCAACTGTAGCAAAGTATTATTCCCAACAGCAGCTACAGTTGCCTTTCATCAAAACCTTGCTAACGCTTGGTTTATCACATTTCTCAATGTTTTACTAATCCAGGGGTTGTAAGATCTAGTGTGTATGGAAGATTTATTTCCTCCATTACCCCAAGGTTGAACATTCAAAAAACATTTTTGTATCAATCATGTTTTCCAAGAAATACCTATTCAAGTCTTCTGTTCATTACTGTTTCAGTTACATCATGTTTATGAATGTTACTTTCACATTAGGATTACGAGTTTTTATCAGCTTACATCAACAATACATTTCCAGGTAGGGTCTTTTTTTTTTTTTTTCAATGAACAGAAAGCTTTCATATTAACTCAGTTGTACCAAACTCTTGTTTTGTTCAATAAATCATTTCTTCCCTTCTAGGACATCAAAACTTATTTTCTGTATTTTCTTTCAAAAGTTTTAAATCTTTTCTTTCCATATTCACAACTTTAATTTACTGGGAATTGTTTTTCAGTTTAGTATGAATAGAAATGGTTTCATTTTTTTTCCCACATAGAAGCCAATGGCTGTGGAGTCATTCTGGGAATACCCACTGTTTTCTTAATGATTGGCGATGCCACTTATTGTCAAGGTCGTTTGCATCTGTAATTGGGCATATCCAGTGTTCTCTCTTCTGTTGGACCAAGACAGAATTTTTCAGGAATGAGCACATTACTCCAGTCTAAGACTCCAGCTATGAACGTGCTTCTGTCTAGTGAGGCAATCCTACCAATGCATTCTTCTGTTTCAGAAGTTTTGGTGGATTTTGATTCTTTGATGTAAATTTTAGAACTAATGTGCAGTGATTTTCAAGAAAGCCAAGATGATATTCTTATCTGAAAAAAAATCTGTACATCACATTAGGGAAAACAGGCAGACTTTTAATATTGAGTTTTTGTTTATTAACATGATGAATCTGTGCGTTCATTGAGGATGACTGTATTGCCTTTCAATAAAACATTGTAGTTTTCTCATATAAATCTGATATCTAACTTGTTATATTAAATTAAACAGCTCCTTTCAGACTGTCTGTACTTGTTCTTCTTTTACTCAGTAAACAGATTAGTACAGTAAGAAACAGTCGTCTGTTTATTGGCCCTGATTTTACAGAACATCACAAGTGTGTGATGAATACTTGCTATAGTCTTTATAGATGGGATGATCCTTCCTCTTAATTAGTTATTTATTTATTTATTTATTTATTTATTTATTTATTTATTTATTCATTGATCCTTTTGAGACAAGGTCTCCCTGTAGCCCCAGCTGGCCTCACTATGTAGACCAGGCTGGCCTTGAACTCAGAGATCTACCTGCCTCTGCCTCCCAAGTACTGTGACTAAAGGCATGCACCACCATGCCTGGCTATGTTGTTATATTTTTACCTAATATTTTCTTATATCTGTTCAGGTATTTATATGATTTTTAGATTTTTCTATTATCAGGCTGTCATTACATTCTTTTAATATCACATTCATTTATTTAATTTTTGAATGTAGGTGTGCATGTATATGGACACATGAATGCCATAGCACAAGGCACAAGTGTGAGGATCAGAGGACAACTTGCAGGAACCAGTTTTCTCCTTCTACCATATAAGTCCTGGGGACCAAACTCAGTCCTGACAACAGGAGCCTTTACCTGTTCAGTCATCTCTGTGACCTCCATTACTGCCTTCTTGAGAAATTCTTGGTTACATATTATTTCTATTTGCTAATATTACATAATAAACATTATAAATTACACATATTTAATATAAATAAATATTACTGATATTTATTAGTTTTAAGACAAAGAAATTAAGAATGTATTGCTTATTATTGATGAGTAGATGTAAAAACCTAGCATTAATTAAAATGTTTGAAAGCACGTAATCAGGATTTAGGAACAATCTTAGTTGGTAAAGTGCTTCCCTTACAAGCATGTGAATCCATGTTTTAAACAGGAGCTCAGCATAGCAGTACATGCCTGTAATTCTAGCATTGGGAAGGTAGATGCAGGCTAATGCCTGTGGCTTGCTGGCCTGCCAGTCTAGCCTACTTGGTGAATTCCAGGCCAGTGAAAAACTGCCTCAAAAACAGGGATGCCAGGTAGTACACACCTTTAATCCTTGCACTTGGAAGGCAGAAACAGATGGATCTCTGTGAAATGGAAGTCAGCCTGGTCTATGCAGCAAGTTCTAGGCCAGCTGGGCCTATAGGGAGACCTTGTCACAAAACCCAGAGAACAAAAATAAAAACCAAAACCCCAAAACCAAACCCAAGCAAAAAGACAAGGTTGATGGCTCCTGAGTAATGATAGCTGGAGATGACTTTTAGCCTCCACATGAGAAACACAAATGTACATGTGCACCCGAGCACACAAATGCATCCCCAAACATCTAATAAATAATACACCGCTACATTTATAAAGGCATCTGAATATTTAAAAATATACTTGTAAAGTAGTTTATTCTTTTGATGATAGCTGACTAGGTCATTACCATGAACTTTTTCTGAGAAAAGCTACATAAAAATGAAAGACTATAATTACAAAAAACTTTGAGGCACCAACGAAATACCAAAGGAGTAAAGAGTTCCAATACCTAAATCTGGCAATTGGGGGATTTCTTTTCCCAGAATCAAAGGGACAAGGAATATATAATATAATATATAATATGCTAATATATAATACAATATATAATATATAATCTATAATACTTAAGTTTACATTCCATAAAAGAGGGTGCTCGTTGTCTTCTTAGCATCCTCGAGTGAGGCTGGGTTACTTGTCACAGTGTCTGTGACGGCTGTTCTCTATATGAGTTCTCCTATGTTAGGTCCTTTTCTGTCTTTCTTTTTTGTACAGAGAGGGTAGGATTGCATCCCCTTAACTAGTGCAACTGGGAAACTGTGATGGTTTGAATGAAAATGTCCCCCATAGACTCCAAGTGTTGGACATTTTGTCCCCAGATGATGGCCATGTTTTGGGAGGTTTTAGAAGGTGTGGCTATCCTGGAGGAAGCACATCACTGCGGGTGGGCTTAGAGAGTTCTTAAGCCTTGCCAGATCTCCAGTAGCTCTCTTGTTTCCTGTGCCTGCTGGAAGATGTAGAGCTTAGCTTCCACTCCTCTTCTCCAGCCACCTCTGCCACCATGCCTCCCCACCAAGACAGACTGTAATTCCCCTAGAACCATAAGCTCAAATAAATTCTTCCTTCTATAAATTGCTTGGGTCAGTGTTTCTATCATAGCAACAGAAAAGTAACTAATACAGTAATTGATTCTAGAAGAAAGCTAAATCCAGGGGACTGTAATAGGATAGCCACAGATCTGGTAAGAAGCTGTACTTAAAGACAAGAGATGTATGTAATTTGTGTGTATTTTAGGCTTTCTTCTTTAAATATGCAAATGGTAATCCCATACGGAACACAGTGGACATGTGGGTGTGACTCCACACCAGAAAGAGTCCCATAGGACAGTCTAGAGGATTCGACTATCCTAAGAAGCTGTGAGAGAAATAGGCCAGCATGGATGAATGGAGTGATCAACACTGGTTGACCAAGATCATAGTCAAAGTAGGTGATGAAAAATCTAAAATGTAAAAACAATTTAATTGTGTCATTTAAAAGCCAGGAAAAATTATTTATTTATCAGCTGGGAAGGTACCTGTCCAGTTTGCCTCCGTTTTCTCCTAGGGGGTGATGGTGTCCCTCCACTTCCCAAGAGAATAATCCCAGACTCATTCTTGGTACTGAAGGAAAGATTGATTTCTGTTCCTACATCAATAGGCACAGGGGCAAGCTCCACATAACCAGGCTTGGGGAAGCTAACTGTGTAGACATTCTGTGGGAAAAAAAGAAGAGAAATCATTAGAAATTAAGAGTTAAACTCTCCATCTCACCTCCTTCCTCAATACATGTGATGTAACCACAAAATAGTATAATTTTAGGAAGCAAGAAAACCTCTGGTTATATGGAAGTTTAAGAGCACGTGAAGAAATATCAATTCAAAGATGTTGACTTTTCTGAACAGTTTAGTTTAGTTTCTTTAAAACAGAAAAATTAAAGCCTCCATTTTAAATCTGTAACTTTTTAATATAAAATATGGAAGGTCATCAGTAGATAATTTTTTTTGGTTTAAATACACCTTGCTGTCTCTTTTGAATTTATTGAATACATAGTATCAGTTAATTTTTAAGAATTTTATTCATTTTTAGTCTACATACATGAATGTTTTTTCCTCTGTGCTGGACAGATTTAGTTGTCAACTTGACACACCTGGGTTGAGGCAACCTCAATTGGAGACTTGCCTCCATTGGATTGGCTTTTGGCCATGTCTGTGGGGCATCTTCTCGATTATTAAATGATGTGGGAGGACCCAGCCCACTGTGGGTGGTGCTACCCCTGGGCAGGTGGGCCTATGTTGTACAAGAAAGCAGGCTGAGCAGGGGCCAGGGGAGCAAGCCAGTAAGCAGGGTTCTTCCATGGCCTGTGCTTCAGCTCCTGCCTCCAGGTTCCTTCCCTGAGTTCTTACCTTGGGCTCCCTCAGCGATGGACTGTGACCCAGGAGATGTAAGGCAAATAAACCCTTTCCTTCCCAAGTCAGTAGTGGTCAGAGTATTTTGTCACAGCAATGGAGAAACAAACTAGAATAGCCTCCATATATGTATGTGTATCACATGTGTGCCTACTACCCACAGAGCTCAGAAGAGGGCATCAAATACTGTGGAACTGGAGTAAAAGACAGCTGTGTGCCACCATACGGGGCTGGGAACTAAAGCCAGGTCCTCTGTAAGAGTAGCAAGTGCTCTTAACCATTGAGCCATTCTTCCAGCCCTCAAATTTTTGTGTGTGATCATGGTTTATGTCCACTTTCTGTGGGAACAATGTTCATTACTGTCAAGTATATAGATACTCTCTAGAATAAGTTCTAGAGATACAACCTAAAATAAACAAACCAAGTATTTTATGTGCAGTTCTTTTCTCAAAATAAAATAATACTATTGTTTTGTGGCTTATAAAATTCATGTAGCTGTATTCTGGAGAGTAACACAGTACAAAGAGGAGATAACATCCCATTTTCATTTTTAGCTTTTATTCTTATTTTTAATTATGTGTATATGTGTGTGTCTGAGTATGGGTTTGTGAAAGTGAATCCAGTGCCCACAGAAGCCAGAAGATGACATTGGATACCCTGGAACTGGAATTACAGATGGTCACTTGCCTTGAGTACTGAGAACCGAACTTAGGTCCTCTGCAAGAGGACAGAACATGCTCTTAACCACTGACATCTCACCAGTCCTAGAACATCTCTTTTCAATGAAATGTTTAGGAGCTATTTCTCTGTCAGTAAATATAGCTCTCCATCACTTTTTTTTAATGGCTGGAAAACATTCTGCTGTACAAAGATGCTAGCATTTGTTTAATCAAGCCTGTGTCATTGGACATTTAAGGTACCTAAAATATTCATTTTTAAAGTCGAGCTTTGCTGGAGTGAAAGCAATGAACTCTTTCAGGTGAGCTATTTTTCATCATAGGGTTTCCAGCCCAGTTAAATGACATAAGAATTGGTAAAATGTATAATGTACTTTCTATTCCAATTTTCAAATTACAGATTTTAGATGGTTTAGGTAAAAGCACTGTACAGATTCTGCAATATTTATCCATGGCAAATTTCTGCCTACTATTTTAGCTAAATAATTCCTGGTTTCTGGACTGTCTTTACATAAGCACCATCTCCGAGCAGGCACGCCATTCATTTTTCTGGACAGCTTTCCATCCTCATGTATACATTGTTTGAATGAGGATGAGAGTTAGACTTTCAGATTTAAACTTTTAGTAAAATTTTCTTTAAGAAGTCAGTAGAAATCCTTAGAGTTTTAGTTCTTTCTGTATTTCCTTCTTCCTTCTCTCTAAGCACAGAGCTAGTGTCTATGGCCACTTCTAAATTAGAGCCTGCAGCTATGAACAACGAAAACCCAACACTTCTGTTCCAATCTTTAAACCTCATTGCTCAGAAGGCAAATTCACTTTCTTCCTTTTTCTCTGCCCTCTCATCATTTCATTCAACTCTACTGGAATGCTTCAAAATGACGCGAATTGGAGGAAGCAGCCAAAATGAAAAGGTATTTCATCGTGGGTAATTAAAAATGTATGTGTCATATTCAACATTTTCTTATTTAAAAAAAAACATCACTATTTGATTCCCATAAAATTCTTGCTAATATTTTCTATTGACTATTTTCTATAGCTTGTAGATATTTTCAGAGAGGAAAGTGGACCCTGGATCTTTTGCACATGGACCAATCAGAACTTAAGAGCTGTATTGAGGACTCAAGTAGATCCAGCTGATTCCTCGGCTACATTAGCAACAAAGATGAGATTTTGAGGTAGGAGAGATTTTTCCATTCACATCATGCAAGTCTATGCAGAATTGGATGCCAGCAGGGCCCATCTATGCTATTTTAATGACAAGAAACTCTGAACAAGATGCTATGTCATGTACCCATGGGGATGGGGTATGCTCTTACATGCTATTTGTGTAAACTACTGATATAGTCTAGAAAAAGTTAAGGTAGTTAACAAAGCTATACATAGTAAAGAAAGACAAAATGAACTTAAATGACAAAAAGGAGAAAAGGTATTGTTGAAAAGGAAGCAAGAACCACAAGAGGTATTAATATTAAATGTACTTGCTATGTATTGAATAGCTATACAAATGGGAAAATGGAGCAAAATTTTGGCTCTTCATAATGCCATTTCCATCATAGCAATTTATAGAATGCTTCCATCTTGCTTAATCATTTATGCATAACTAAGAAAGGATCAGTACAAATCTAAAATACATTAACAAAGGAACTATTCTTGTAAAAGCACTCATATTAAGTAAATGAAACATGATGTGACCACGTTATGCAACTTTCAGAAATAGACCAACCTCCAGTGAACAGCCTTTGGTAACACCAACATAATCAGGGCGACTGAGTATATTGTACGGAGTCCTTGAAATTTCAATATCTTTGAGGCAGCCGGAATATTTCTTCACATTTACTTCTGGCCTATTGAATGGTCAAATGGAGAACAAAAGCAATCACATTAGAGTGATGGCAGCTTGGTTTTCAACTTGGAAGGAAGCCATGTGATGCAAACGGGAGCTCAGGCAGGTGCATGTCTATCAAAGTGCACATGCACACACTTGTACCCAGCACACTGTGCCTTCTATTATGCGCTGGTTGGGTTCAGTGGATGTTAGCACAGCTTTACACAAGGAGCCCTGATGTTGTTTTCCTCTTCTCTAAAATAAATCTTAAAGCATTTCAATACAAGGCACAGAAATCAACGACTTATTAATGCTTCACGTGCATAATGAAATAAGTGCTTCTTGTTTCCACTAAAGAGAAGGCAATTGTGTAGGCAGCATAATTAAGTTGTTTACAAAAAGCTTTAAAAGTTCTTGTTCAAAATTTAGGAAAAATATTTGGAATGTTCATTTAAAAATATTGTTGAAGCTTAACAGGAGAGAGTACCTGTGTGTGCATGTGTGCATGTGTGTGTATATGTGAGTGTGAGAGTGTGTGTGACTGTGTGTGTGCATGTATGAGTGTGTGTACATGTGAGTTGGTGACTTTGTGTGCATGTGTGCATGTGTGACCATGGGTGTGTGTGTGCATGTGTGTTCATGTGTGTGTGACTGTGTGTGCATGTGCATGAATGACCGCGTGTATGTGAGTGGGTGACTGTGACTGTGTGTGCTTGTGTGAGTGTGACCGTGTCCATGTGTGAGTGTGTGTATGTGCATGTGAGTTTATGATTGTGTGCGTGAGTGTGAGAAGATGTGACTATGCGTATGTGTGTGTGCATGTGCAAGCGTGTGTGTGATTGTGTGTGCATGTGTGTTTATGTACATGTGTGAGAAAGAGTGTGTGAGGGTGTCGGTGTGTGGGTGTGAGCGTGTACATGAGTGTGTGACTGTGTGTGCGTGTGTGCGTGCATGTGTGAGCTGAGTTTGTACACGTGTGAGCATGAATGTGTGTGAGTGTGTGAGTGTTACTGTGTGTGGGTGTGTGAGTATGCATGTTTTATGTTTTGCACTTCTATTACTATCTGGGTCTTCTTTATAAGATAAACTTGAGTCTTAGGGTAAAATAAGTATGTCAAACTTTACAACTTTGGCCAAAACCCAGATAGTTTAACATTAGGTTTACTGATTCCAAGGTTTGTATTCTATATTTATACTGTACTAAAATAAAGAAACCAAACACAAAACAGATAGTTTATCTGGTAAGGTTGGTGTTTCCTATACGCAAACTACACTTGAAATTTTCTGCTCCTTACTTTAAAAAACATAGCATGCATGCAAGTAGATTAGGTCAACTCCTTGCTTTGATTCTCACATATTTCTTTGATTTTTTACTTCATATTACCAAGGGATTTGATTTCTCTAGGATTCCACATCAGTACATGTGAAGTGGACATGATGACCATAATAGTGATGACTACATTATCAATGAGCAAAGTCTGGTACAATCTGGAAGAGCATAGCACATATAAATGCACAGTTAATGTACACTGGCTGGATATGCAGTATGCTGACACCTCTTGAGTCTGTGACAGTGAAGCCCAACAAAACTTCCTGTAATGATGGAAATCTTCTGTTCCGCACTGTTCAGTTCAGTAGTTTAGTAGTTACTAGACATCTGTGGTTATTGAGATTTGCAGTGTATCTTGTGCCAATGAGGAACTAAATATTTTTTTGATATGTGTTTCAAAGTTAAATGGCCACTGTGGCTAGAGGGTATGCTGTGGAACAGTGTAGATATATAGGGGTAAAAACATAATTTTTCTTTATGTGTTGTTAATGAACATCTGGAAAGAGTCCAATCGACACCAATATTGTACTTGATAGGGTAATGATTAATTCTCTCCTCATTGTCCCCTGATGCCAACTTTCTCGTTTTCATCTTTATAAAAAACACATGGCAGGAGGAAAAACAGGTGGGAAAGCAAATTAGACCCTGGCAGTACGTATCAGGTGATTTATTTCTTGTCAAGTGTTTGTTCTGTTCACTATCTCCACCCCCGTCTCTCTGGAACTTCTTTATTTCCTTTGATCATTTTGTCTAGCTCCCAAGGTCTTCTCCTCCTGTTCTTTCAGTTAGTAATTATGAAGAACATGCCCAGCTGGAGGGAGGGGATCGTGCTTGTATTCTTCTTGTACAAAACAAAGGGATGGCTGAATCTCATTTGCCGTGTTTAGCTGCTTCTGTATTTTCCTTTACGGGAGGACAGATTATCACAATTTGGTGTGTATGGTGTGTGTGTGTGGGGGGGAGCATTTGACAATAAAGTAAATCACTCTAACAAGTTTATTGTTTCATGGAAATACAATAACTCATTAAAAAATATAATGATTTAGCAAGCTCAGCATGATGAAAGCCACAAGGTCACAAAGGCACAGTGATCTAATTCCTAAGGTAACTACAGGTAGCTATTTCCTGAAGGTCACCACTCAGGGACAAAATTTCAAGGCTATGTAGTACTATCCCAGAGTTTTATTAACATTATTTCCATTGGAAACCAGTCTTTGCCTTTGATCCATCTGTAAATTAGGCAGGGCATGATTAGTCTTATCATGATATCATGATAAGACAGCTTGCTTTTATTTTTCCCACTTTCTATATTTTCTAGTTTCTGATGTTAAAAATCTTGTCTTTGCTTTGAAACATTTCTTGATCAGTTCAGCATCACTGTCTCTTGTCTACAGTCCAGCACAGTTAGACTCTAAAATGCCCAAATTCTTTTGGCTTTGTCCAGTCAGCCAGATCTGCACATTTCCAGGGTTTGGTCAGCCACATACAAGGCTGCTAAGTCTACCTGCAGGGAAGAATGAAAATGTGCCAGAGATACCATGGAGACTGTCTACAGACTTCTTCACTCTTAATTAAAATACTTGTTTTAAATGTAGTATTTACAGAGATTCTTTTTGTCTGCCTCCACAGATAATTTTCAATAAACACAGCAATAAATAAGCTTTGACAAAAAGGTGCAGTTATCATATCAATGCATATTTTCCAGCCTGCAAAAAGCGCTAAGGCAGTGATAAGCATTTGATAGCACAGGTGACTTGCTGAGCAGGCAGCATGGTACTAGAGAGGCCAGAGTTTAAGGTTCTTCCCAAGAAACCATCTTTGCTTGAACTAGACTATACCCAAAAACTCGATGAGCTGTCCTTTGCATACACACTGCTGGCTGCCAGGATGCTGTGTGCCAGGCGGCTGAATAAGTAAGCAGTGTGATTCTCATAAGACTGGTGAAACAACTGGAGTTGCAACCCAACTGATGGCAGGTAAGCAGCAGCCTCCTTGTAAGCGATGGGTAGCATGGGAACTCCCTCCAGCAATATGAATTATTTGCCCATGAAACACACTACTAAAGAAACTATGCTGGTCTTGCTCTGCTGCACTGCTACTGTCCCCACAAAGCCATGTTCCCCAGCCATGCACTTCAAGAAGGCATGCATAAATTTAAATTTTACCTTGCTTTCATACTAAGTGAAAAGAAAGAGAGAAAACATTTACTTGTCATTACATTTTCATTATGTGAAATAACAAACATTAACCATAAATCTTGTTAAACATTCATCCCCCACAAAGGAATACAGAAAGTGGAAGTGGACAGAACACAAAACAGACATCTGTCCTTGACTGAAGTGAAACTGGAATTCAGAGACGACCGTTTCCCAGACTTCCCACTTCCACTTTTATTTTGGAATGTGAATTCAAAGTCCTTCCTTTTCTTTACATAATGTATAGGGAAGTGCACCCAGGTGGTATTTATGAATAACTTATAAATATTGCCTCTCAATGAGCTCAAGCTCAACAATGTATGTGAAAATAATTTGTATTTATCACATCATCATACTGAGAACCTAACCTGATACCATAAAGTGACAGGTGAATGCTTGGATATTTTGTCAATCACATATACATGTAAAGATTATTTTAAAATAGTAGGCCATGCTATAGCAGTATTATAATCATAAATCATTATACTAAGAAATTAAAAACATCTCATTGATAAAGATTCATTACATGTATATTTTCCTAAATTAAACCAAAGGTACAAATCCTTCTCAAGGAAGTTAAGCACATATTTGTAGATCATTCACAAACTCCCTTTCTGATAATTAAGGTCATTTTTAGAATAGATGAAACTATATTTAGGTAGTCTTATTTTCACCACATTTAACTCATCCAGGAGAATACAGATAAAGATTTTATAAGATAAATCTTGAATTTAAATAATTGCTAGATCCTTAGTGTTTAGCATGATTCCTGGCACATAGTAGGTACTCAGCCATAAAATGTGTTAAATGAATGTTTAGTAAATGAACTGTTAAGTGATAGCTATATCACTATTCAAATCATTTTGATATGCACTAATTTTTCTAACTTGACACTTTAATTAGACAATTGTCTGGTTTATGAGTAGATTTTGGGAAAAGCAGCCTCAGCTCATATCCCTGCTGACATAAAAAAGGAGGTGAGTTCCACTGCTAAGTTGGAAAACAGGGAGCTGAGTTCCCCCATAATTTTAGAATACAACATTCTATGAATTTTCCAAATGTAATCTCTGTAGAGTAGAAACATGGGACTGTTGTACCTATTAAAAACTACCAAGCTACAAATTAACAGAAACAAAAAACTCAAAACAAGATATGCTGAAGTGGTCATAACTTCCTATACTTTGACTAGATTAACCCATTCCATTATAATCAGATGCAATTAACATATGTTAAGTACCAAGATTAGACAGATTTTGTTTCCTATATTTTATACTACAGAGTAAATCAATTAAATGTCGCATGAAAGATGTTCTGACTTTCAGATCCTTTTTCTTGAACTAACTAAACTATGAGCTAAAGAGATCTCCCTCCTCTGCTTGCTACAGAGCAAGTGTGAAATTTTTTAATATGATGGCATGGGCATGTGAAGAGCTGATGCAGTGCTAGTGTCAGGCATGTGGAAAAGCTCCAATATGCTATTATGATGCTAACACTTAACAATAAAATAGGTTATACTCACAGTATCCTGGAACACTGACTACTTTTCAGAACACTGCATAATGTCGGAATGCCATTCTCTCCAGTGAATGTGTAAGGAGAACAGCAATTATGAGACCCACATTCAACCCTGGCTTCTACCTTTAATTACTTTCATAATTCTTTCCAGCAGGTGCATATGAGGGAAATAGTGATTGCAATCCATCTCTTTAACAAAGATGTCAAATTAATCCTCCGGTTTCTAACCTGGTGTTGTTCTAACATGCAACATGGTTTTTTTGATTAGTCTTTTCTGTTGTTAAAGGTCGTATGACATTGCTATTGTAATCAAACTTCAGAACTCTGGTGAGCACAATGGCCATTTAATTAAAACTTCAGCTTTAAATATACACTAAATTACCTCAAGTTTCTCAGAGTTGGCAGGCCACCAAAATATATTTTTTCATCTGCTTTCAAGTCAAGACCAAAGTTGTTTCCAGAAGATGAAGTTGCTATGTTCTCCTCCTGGTTGGTATCTATATCTACAATTGATATGTTGGCTGTAAAGAGATAGGAAGTTTTCATTTAATTTGAGTAACATTAACCACAGCTATGTTATTGCTGACACTCTGAGAAAAATTCAGTCTAAAATTCAAATAGACATTGGTTTTCTCAAGCACATGTACTGTATATGTAACTATTTAATGCAGAAAAAAGCTAACATCAATAAAACATTATTGAACTATTTGCCAGAAAACTTGGGAAAAAATGGCTTGGACGTAATGAAGACAAATCAGTGGAGATGAAAAACAGAAGTTTAGATGGACACCAACAGACTGCATGTCATGGTTTCTTATACTAAAGTAAGAAAATAAAGTAAGATAATTAGTTACATGTTAGCATGACTATATAACTAGATATTAGATATTAGAAATATACTAACTCTGCACCTCTTCCTGTGAATTTCAACACCCAAAGAACTACTGAGGTTTAAGCTATGTGCAAAGTGTTACTTCCTTGTATAATGTCACTGCACTTGGAAGTGGAGAGATGTGGATGTTTGATTCTGTAAGACAGTGAGACCCATATCTACTCTAAATTACATTTTAAACTGGGAGGCTGAGCATTGTGAGTGAATGCACTGTCCTCATGCATACCTTATTGCTTTCTCTTGGGTCTCTCAAACAATTTTCTGATGTTAAGAGGACAAGAATTTAGGCATAGAGAATGAAAAAGGAAGTCACCTCTCTGCTTTAGAAAGCTAATGCGGCTTCTTTATACCATGGATTTTCCTCCCTCGTTTCTAAGGGCCAGGCTAGGCTCTCTCTGAATCACGTGCTTCCACAGCATACTATGTACTTGGTCACAACCTCCAAGTACCTCATGTACTTTAAATCATTGATGTATATTGAGCCATCAGTTCATTAATGTGACATGTTTAGCCTGTGGTAGCATCTGAATTGACATGGGTTTAGAAAGGGGCATTTGAAGCTACTGAGTTATAAGGGAATCTCTAAATATTCACTGTTCACAGTGCTGCTTTCTAGGATGTTTCTGGTTCAAATGCATGTGACATGTACTGGACTAAACTGTGTTAAATATGTATCTTAGTTTTATGGCTGCCCAGATCTTTCAGCGTGCCAATATGCTACTCAGTGCTCCAAGAGAGGACATAGAAGGAGAAAGTGTTTTCAAATTTGTTTGATCATGCAACACTGCTATAGCCTCTCCATTGATCATTTTTTGAATTGATATATTTTGGAAAATGTAAAAAAAGTCAAATTCCAAAATTCTACTGTAAGTCTATAGCCTTACTGTTTCAAAAGAATGTATCTTCAATAACATCAAGCACAATTATATAAAATGACTCAAACTGACAAGTCTGTTAACATCTCACACCTTCAAGCCCACTTTTGTGAAGAATTTAAAGGATCTAATGTCCTATTAAGACATATTTATCAAGTTAATATTTAAAAATTTTTACTTATTTCATAAACTAAATTTCACTTATATTTATTTTCATGTATATAAATAGTTTTATAGATATGTATCTCCTTGATTAGATGGACTGGTTACTAAAAGAAAATAGATTTATGAAGCTGTTTTTAAGACTTCTTCATACATATTCTTTTTAATCTAGATCACAAAGAAGTTTTTATGTGGTGCTGTTCACTAGAACATGGAAATTGTCTCTTTCTGTAGACTCCAAGAAATGAAATTCTGCCTTTATTGTTGGCAAGCCAGTGACTGGAAGTAGTGTTTTCCCTTATTCCTGAGAGAATATATGCATTTTTAGAAGCCATTCTTAGAAAAATTTATCAAAGAGCATCAACAGAATTCAACTGAAACTTACTACCCCAAAGTTAATTCTGATGGAAGTGTAGGGTGGCATATTTTTACTTACTTATTCTGTAGCCTTTAAGCATGAGAGGGATGAAGTTGGTTCAGGTAGGAAATGCTATTCTTAGCATGGATTTTTCTTTGCAGATTAGCAAAGTAAAACTTAGCCATCAATTTCATGAGTAAGTATGAAAACGGGATTTTATTAAATAGTAAACATAGAATAGAGGCTAAGCAAGTGATTTCACAATCAGCTCTGTGTTATCATACCCTGTTTCCACCGAGGTAATCCTTTTCTTCTCTCAGTCTGTAAGAAGTCTAAATAATTGTTCTCAAATTTGCTTTCATTCAGTGCACTTGGTTGATCCCACACATGTTTATTAATGACTGTAGTTCTACTCAGGACTGTTAAGGACAGTATGAATAACCCCATGCAATGTTCTTGGATTGAAGAAAGCAGTGGTCTTACAAAGATATCGAGACTAGCTCATGAAAAGCAACAATATATTCAGTATGCACGTGTCTGTCTCTGTGTGCAGGTACACACATGAACAGCATATGTGTGGAGATCAGAGGACAGCTTGCAGGAGTCAGTTCTTTCCTTCTACTATGTGGGTCCTGGGGATTGAACTCAGGCCGAGTCAGGCTTCATGCTCAGCCTTTACCTGCTGAGCCATATCATTGGCCCGTCCTCTATATCTCTGAATACTTTGAGGATGTAACTCTTGGGGTAGTAATGTTCTTTCCTTTTCTCACATTCTAGTTTTAGCCATCTGGTAAACTCAAGTTCATCTTTATTTATAATATAATGGTAAAACCCCAAAATATGCATGCCTGGATCTGATTTTGCCTGAAAACCCACATTCAACAAGCAAGACACCATAATTTGCATTTTCTTTCAGTGCTAACCATATTGCAAACCATATGGGGCTCTTTGGACCCCCAAATGTACATTATTTTATTTGCTGGCACCATGACTCTTAGTCTCTCAAACTAGAAGGGCAACCTCAACATTCATCTCTGATCACATCAATACCCTTTCTGATATTTTTCTTCTAAATAACTATAATATTTGTGTTTAAAATAGCTTTAATGATATATTGTTGACTAGTTGAACCATGTTTAAATTATACAGTCTAGTAAGGCCCAAAGGGTACTATATTGTATGGACTTACAAACAATCTGTGTAGGCCTATATACGTGCTGATGGATGTTTATTTTCAGTTTTTGAGTTTCACAAATGAAGATTACATGGCTATTTTGGGACAAGGCTTTGTTCAAATATATACTTTCATGTGTCTTGAGAGAGTGAGGAATGTCTGGTTTGTGGGGCTGGTGAACTTCTTACCAATGTTGATGTGCTATTTTATATTCTCAACAACGTATTGAACTGGTCATGGCTGGGCTTTTAAATTTTAGACATACTTGGGTTTTTTTTGACAGGGTCTCCCTTGCTCCAGCTGGCCTGGAACTTGCTATGTAGACCAAGCTGGCCTTGAAGTCACAGAGATATGCTTGCCTCTGCCTTCAGAGTGCTGTGATTAAAGGCATGTGGCACCATGCCCAGCTAAATTTTTGATGTTCTAACAGCTATACAGTGGCACCAAAGTTTGCATTTTCCTTGTGTGAAATTCTATTGCAACTCTTATTTTACCGTTTTATGTGTTTTTTTCAATATTGCTACTGCAAGTTAAAAGACTATATTCTTCTATTGTGATTGCATTTCTCAACTATTTAATAAGTCTGAATTTGTTTTCTTTTGGTTAATTATTTGTTGATAATCACTGCTTTTTTTTCTATTGTGACTTCCATGTTTTCTTTTTTATTATAAAAATAATTCATGTTAATTGACCTGCCAGAATAACAAAATCCTTTAAAAGTATCAGAGAAAATACATTAGATAGCCTCAAAATATGTGTGATAGATTTATTATAACAATGACAAAAGGGTATCTATTTGATTTGCTAAATGGTGGTGAGATATCAGAAATATAGAGAACAGGGAGCAGAGAGATTTCTCAAGCTTATTTGAGAACAAAGGTTCCAAACAACTGAAGCACCCAGAATGTAATTTTATGGTAATACTGTGAAGACACATGAGAGAGAGAGAGAGAGAGAGAGAGAGAGAGAGAGAGAGAGAGAGAGAGAGAGAGAGAGAGAGAGAGAGAGAAAGAGAGAGAGAGAAGCAGGATGCATCATCTCATGGAGACCCCAACAAAGAGTGAGACTATGTGGTACAGTTGACAGGTGTTCACAAAGGTAACAGGAGCCAGAGTCCCCTGGAAGGCCCGGAAGGACACTAAACAAAGAAAATATCAGCATCAGCAGCATAAGATGGAACTGGAGAACAAGAATGAAGCACAAGACATTGTGTGGTTCAGAAACGAGAAAGTTCCTTCGGGTTTCTGGACCATGGAGGGGTAAGAATGTAGGTTTAGTGTGAGCTGGAAAAAAATCATACCAATTGGATGCAATGCTTGCGCTACAGTAAACTGGATGCATATTTTAACTACTTTCAAGTTTATACAGCACTGTAATTTGACTTTTTAGTTATTTGTTTCAATGGACAGAATAAAAACTTCTAGATGGCAGATAAATTATGGTAACTGCTGTACTTTCAAGGTGACAGTTTATGGCAAGCACATCTTTAACAAGTTGAGTCATTCCATCCTTATTTTCCACCTTCTAGATTTACTTAGCACAGTTATCTTTAGAGTTCATAGCACTAACTGATATAGGCTGTGTTTTGTTTCTGCCTCTTTCTTTTACCTTTCCCACAATGCATATTGGTCTTTTCTTTTTTTCTCTTACATTGTTAGTCTGTGACCTCTTGCTTTCTCCCATGCTTTGTCTCTTGAGAGAATTACCTCAAACACCCGATCCCATGCACACATATCTCCCTCTGCCTTCATGTCCCTCGTCCTCCACCCTGTCTTGGATTGGGTCCCAGCATTTCTGACTTCTTAGTCTCATGCTGTGCTATTCACCATTTCTTTTGGTGCTTCTCATCTCTTCCTTTCTACATTCTCCACAGCCTACAAATGTACTGAAGAATCACTCATTCATTCACTCAGTAAATCCTTATTGAGTATTTACTACATGCTGGGAACCTATGGAGACCACCAGGACGATCTCTCATTTCATGACCCTTGTCCTCCATTTCCACACCTGCTTTCTCAGACTCTGCCCCTGCCCTTCCTTCTGAGTCAGCCTATACTCCATGTCTGCTTTCCCATAGTCCTTTGTACTACAATGAGCCACTATTGGCTCTCACTGTGACCACGCCAACATGCTTTCCAAGTCCTCTGATGGCCTCTGGAGTACTAGCGAATGTGAATTCCTTTGCTCTTATCCTCTTTCAACATGTGATGATTTATGATAAGCTAAATCAATTTTTTCCATTTATTTTTTGAGACAAGGTCTTATGTATCTATGGCTGGCCTTGATGATGTTAACTCTTAACTCTCTGTCTCTACCTCCCCAGTGTTAGGATAGACGGTAGGCATGTACCGCCACACCCAGATCTTCATTCTTTGAGAAAAGCTTTCTTTCCCTTCTTTAACATCAGGCTTCCTAAGGATTCATTTCTGCTTTCTCTGATTATTTCTTATGGCCAGTCCCTTTCAGGATCTTCATTTATCTAACTCTTTCAATATTAGTACAGTCATTTTATTCTAGACATGACTACTTGTTTTTTCTCATTATTAAGACTTGATCATTGAGAAAATGAGGATGAATGTTCCAACTTCTCTTCCCAAGAACTCTATGATCCTCATAAACATCTAATTGTTGGCCAACTGTACAACATCCCTAGGCTGCTAAGGAACTACATGTTCCTTGTATACAACATGCCCAAAATAGAGCTCTGAATCTTTTTCAGAAAACCCGTCATTTTTCCTGCACTTAAAAAACTTCTCAAAGATTACTGACATAATTTGCTATCTGAGAAAAAAGGAATTCTTCCAAATCTCTTTCCCCCTCCATATTGAGTAAAAGACACATCTTTCAACTCCATTCTTTCCTCTCCATCTCATTAGTAACTTATTTTCTTATTCTTCTCACTGTTTATGTGGTTTAGTGCAGATCAACTAGGAGCAGCCAAAATTGTCACAAACATAATCACTTAAGATGCTATGAGGAAAGGAATTTTACCAAGGCACAGATCCAGTGGTGCTATGCCCTTGGTTTAGACTTACATTTCCCTATGGCTAAAATCATTTTCTTAACTCACAAAACTGCATAGAGTCACCCTGTCATTTCAGCCTCATCTGATGTTATCCTGCCAACAGCCATCCATTTAGTTTATACATTCATTTGTAGTTATTGGTAATGCCATAATACAGAGAATTACAGAATTCTCTCCAAATAACAATTACAACCTTGCACCATGCTAAGAACTAACAGACTTGGCCTTCCATCTTGGTTGTGATATATATATATATATATATGATCTATAACATGTATAAGTTTGAGAGTGCGTTTTTCCACCCTCTAACAACATATCAAAATTCTTATATGAAAAATTAAATGTGAAAGAATTTTAAGAATCATAAAAAGGTGTCATGTCATTACTACTCAATTATTTACCTGAACATATAAACATTTTTGGCATTGATGAAGAGAAAAGACCTGATAGCTGTGTCCTACCACCATACGGATTCTATTGTGGGTGCTTTAAACTAAAAGAAACATCTCAACAAAATAGAAAAGGATACAATTTTCCAAACCTGTTAGAGGATATAATTTTGCAAGTTGTAAGACAGGCTTATGCTTTCAAATTAAGCGCTCAGTTTCAAAAAAGAAAAATGACAGAGGACCATTTGGCTCTTCAATCAGTTGTGTCTAATCCAAACCACCTATAATCTAAGCCAAAGAAATGACTATATCAATTTTTCACAGAAGTCGTGAGTAGCTGAAATTACAGGCAAGGTCCTCCTCCTGATTAGGTTCACTGTGCTTTGGATAGCATGATTAAGGCCCACACTGCATTCCTACTTTAAGAACTCACCTTGTTTCTGAATTCTTGACAGGGTGAATGACTTCCATTTCCCATCATTATGATTTTGATTGCTGACAACGGAAGCCATTCCTGAACCCAGATCATAGCTGACTTTTATGTGCCCATCAGCGAGCTCTACACTCATGAAATCTTTCTATCAATAGAGTAAAAATATACCAGTGATTAGATACACAGAGAAATATATGGGTATTCACTTTTTTATGGGATTTATAATAGGGTTTTATGGCTAGGTTGCTGAATGTGTCACTCTGTGACAGAAATACATTTCAGAAATAGAGTCAGTGTTGTTATTTTGTGATTTTTTTTTTTTTGTCAGTGTGATGTTACGGTACAAATTGTCACAAACAAATTATTAGGATATACTCTATCATGATAGTTGTGTGAAGTGAGTTCCTTTGAACACATATTAAGCAAATCAAATGGTAAGATTTCTGAAACATTCATTAAGAAAAGTGGACCTGAGGCAAAGGAAGCCAGGGCGTATTTAGAATCACCTTCCAAGGCAAGGCTTACAGAAAATAGTAGGGAACTAGATTTTCTGCTACATTCTTTTTTTCCTAGGAAAATCATCACTGGGTGCTTCTCATAAAGACTTATCTGAGAAATTATACTGTAGAGAAAAAGTAACTCACTCGTGATTGGGGTAATCAATGAAGATGCATAAGCATTTCTATATTATTCTCAGCTACCATAAAACCATCATGGATAACTTCTAATTTTAGTTGACAATTTCACTACTAACAATTGCATTGGTAGTCTTCAAAAAAAAAAGCAAACACATTTTCCTTCTTCCTTGTTACCAGGTCTCGTGTGGCAAGGTACATCAGGAGAGCACTTGATGAAAAGGTCCGGAACTTGAACATGACTGTAGAGATGTTGGGGTACCAGCGGAGGGGGCGGCTCACCAATGCATAACCTTCTCCATCAAATTGAATAGTCCCCTCACTGTCTTCCACCTGAGGACTGAAAAGAGACATTTCATACCAGTTATACCTATTTGGTCTACTTGATCTGTCATCGTTCAATGAATCAATCTATCTCTGGGGACCGGATGACAAGTTGTTAGAGGACAGGAATACCACAAATACATCATTTATCCTTCTTCTCACCACCTCTACTTACCACTATCCCATCAAACCTCAAACCATAGTCTCTTATCTGGACTTCAGTAAGTAAGTATTCAAAGGCTAGAAGAGTGGTGTTTCAGATGATTTATATTTTAGATAAGCACTTGGTGGATAATCACACTAATATTTTAGCAATTCTTGCTGATATTTTTGCAAGCTGTCAAGAGTTTTGAGATGGACTGAAAATCCATTATTATATTTCCCATCTACATAGCATAGTGGAATATAGATCCATAACCTCTGACTATTCACCATCTAACAAATTTTCCTGGGACTTAACTAAATTCAGGCACTGAAGGTTGCCTGCATTTCATTTTGTGCTTTTTAAATTGTCTGCTTCATTAAAGAGACCATCTAGAACTTATGGGTGTCAATGTATAGCAGGCATTATCTCAGCATCTAGGGTGGCCTTTGGCTAATAGATCACAGTGAACATTTGTGGGATGATGGAGAATTTCTACAACAGATTCTTCACAGGGAATATATGCTTAATAGTGATTAAGATGAATCTTGTAAATACAATATTTGAAAAATAATGGTTTTTCCAATGTGAGGCTATCTCACCTATCTGTCTGTCCAGCCATTCATCCACCCAGCTAGTTATTTACGCTGTTGTTTCATAGTAAGTCTCATTTGTGGGGATATTTTTCAAACTTTCAATATATGCATATGAGCACGTATTTAATCTCTGAAATTTAGTGTTATATTATCTTGAGTGTAGAGGGTCTAGTACGAAATACTATGGTGCTATCATAAAAAATAGAAACCCAGAACATTATTTTATTAATTTATTCATTAAAGTACTTTAGGAGTTTATTTATCTTTATTTTATGAGTGAACGTTTTGCCTGCATGTATATATATGCACCACATGTGTATCCATTGCCTGTGGAAGCCAGAAGAGGATGCTGGATCCCCTGGAATTGGAGTTACAGGCAGTTGTAAGCTGCCATGTGTGTCATCTGGAAAAGTAGCAGTGCTCTTATAAACTGAGCCATCTCTCCAGCCCTCCTGCTTTTTTTTAGGAATATTATTTTCATGAAATCACAGTCAATGAGCAAAGCCATAGAATATAAAAATGAATTTTCTTATATAGGAAGAGCTGTTACACACATTGGACAAGTTGACTTTCTCTTGGTTCTTGGACATAGAGGGACAAAACAATAAAGACAAGATAAAAGATACTTTTTTGAGTATTTGTACAAAAATTCTAAATGAAAAACTGAGGAACTAAATTAGTTTATTAACCATAGAATTGACAGTGACTAACTTGGCTGCTGCTTGGCCTTCTTGCAGCATGGTATTGCATGACTTCTGGAGCAGTGACTAGAGATAGAGAATGTTGTGGAGAGTCTACACAGGAGTTCCTTCAAGTTCTCAGTTACTAGGACTTTGCATACCATATAGCAATGACAAGCGGGAAAACGTGGGAATCCTTTCTGTCTGATTTCGGTGTGCTTTGGAATTAAATATTGCTTCATATAACTTGCAAAATATTTGATCAAACAAACAAACTGATCCTCACTATAATTGCAGAATCAAAAGAAAAATATCAGAGTTTTAAATGTTTTGGTTTATTTAATATATTTATTTTGTTTATTTTTTGAGATGGGGTTTCAATTTGTAGTCATGGCTGATCTGGAACTTGCTTTGTAAAGTAGGCTGGCTTCAAACTCTCAGAGATCCACCAGTCTCTGTTTCCCAACTGCTGGGATTAAAAGCATGTGCCAGTACAAGCAGCCAGAGTTTAGTGTTTCTGATTCAGAAACTTAGGGCACTTAAACTCTGACATCTTTTTGTCTCTAACATCAAGTCTTCAACATGGTTTGATGGCAGGCACCCTGGAGACTACAATCAAATTTCACAAAGGTCTTGCCATAGCCATTTAACAATTCAGGTTGGAATTTCTCAAGAATGACCTAAAAGTTTCAACTACTTTTTGATTTCTAAAGTCCCTCCAACTGCAACACTGAGGATGTTTTCCTATTCAAGCAAAAGACAAATCTATGGAAAGATTTTTGGACTGGAAGTGGCCAAGCACATGCACACAGAATAGCTGTCTTCACTTAATTCATTCACTAATGTTAGCCAAAAATAGGAAACCTGGCTTTAAATAGATGACTTTAAGATGGGGAAAATGAGGTCATCTAGGTATTTGCTATAGTTTTAAAATTTGTAACAGCATACTAGATTTTTCTTCTTCATTCTGAGTTCATTTGCCTGGAAAAGTAGGTACTCTTTTAAATTTAATAAATGAAAAGCATCCTAACTTTCCTTTTATTTTTGTACTAAACCTGTGTGTCTGGTCAAGTTAATACAAATTAATTACATTCTGGAACAGCTGTGTATGACTTACACTTATTAAGTATGGGAATTAATGTTTTTTTGTCTTACTATTTAAAAATTCATAATCATTTTAATGTTCAGCTAAGTAAATTTTATTTCTAGCAGGTTTTTATATTTTAAACTTGATGTGACTGTCTATGTTTAAGAAAAATGAGTTATTATCTGGCTGATACTCTTCCTAAAACATTACAACCATATCCTTTATATTGACTACCTAATAAATGTAGACTTCTAAAAGCAACATTCTAAGTTCTCTACATAATTTTCCCAGCCCACCTCCTTTAGACTCATCTTTTATATTTTGTCCTATAAAATCAATTCTTCTCCTTAAATGGAATGATTGGTCTTTATGCTAAAATATGACAAATATTTTCCTGAAAATAAAAGAAAAACAAAAAATATCTGGAGTTCTATTAATAATCTTGTTACAAATAGAAGGGCATATGCAGCAATAGTGTTGGAGAAGATCATTCAAAACTTACTAAGCTACGTAATCAATGCACGAAAACACTAACAACAATAATCAAAAAAGATTCATTAAAAATCCCAAACATGGACTTTTTTTGTGAACATAGAACTTCACTTCCAAAAGAAAAGACAAGGGTAGTTTGATGACAGGGAGTATAAAGGAGGGTTGACATTCAGAGTGTTGGGGTTATAATGACAACGCACCCCGAGAGGGAACAGGGCAAGGGCACTGACTCTCTCAGACTTGTTAAATCTTTTCATTGGACTTTTACCCTTTCTTAAGGCATACCTCAAGTCTTGCTTCCTTGATAAAGCAGATTTTTAATGTTCTTTAAAAATTTTTTAAATTTTATGTGTATGAGTGTCTTTTCCTGCATGTATGTAAGCGCATCACATGCATGCAGTACCTGCAGAAGTCAGAAGAAGGCATCAGATCCCCTGTAACTGGATTTACAGACTGTTGTTAGCTGTCATGTGGGTGCTGGGAATTGAACCTGGGCCATATGCAAGAGTAGCCAGCGCTCTTAACCTCTGAGTCATCTCTCCAGCCCCAGATTTTGGTGTTCTTAACCTAAAGTTATACTGTGTATCCCTTCAAAAAAGTTTTAGTATGCTTTATATTTTGACCACTTAACCAATCCTACAAATGGCCTAGATAAAGCATCACACATTAGTAGTGGAAGGTGTTTACAGAACTGACGATTAATGTGATAATCTTACATGATACGCATGGCTAAGAGAACATTTGATGTTTTAGAATAACCAGTCATGTTCAGCTGGTGGCCCATGGCATCCCAGAATAGCTATGAATGCAGCCCAGCATAATTGTAGATGACAATATCTTGCTGAATGTCAAATAGTTAGACATCCTTGTAAGATTTTTTTCATTGTTTTTGCTGTAGACTTTTGAAAATGCTACTTAGAAGTTTACCAGGAAAAAATGTTTAGGGAAACTTTGGACCTCATGTATCCCAGGCTGGTCTTGAATTTGCAATCTTCCTACTTCAGAGTTCTCAGTGCTGGGATTACAGGCATGTGCCAGAGAACCTGGCATTGAACCTCATTGTTCAATTGAAAAAAATTGTAGAGACAACTCTCCATATTAAATGTTTGGATATTGTAAATAAAAGTCTTCTTAAATAGGTCAGGTTTTCAGGCTTTTGAACTATCCCATGTCATGTGGATAAGTTTATAATACCAAAGGAAAGACTCTCAAGTGAAAACTTTTAGAGATTCTTCTTTCATGGAATTGTAGAGATGCTGATGTAGCTCTCATATTAATGGAGTCTTAAGGCTTGGAAGTGTCCATGTGCTCTTTAAATTAGAGTTAAAAATACAAACTTCTTAGCACCTTTTAATTTCTACATATGTCATATTAACCCTTTATTTAGTATGTATTTCAGTGTTTTAACAATATAGTTAAATTATTTTTAGGCTTAGGTGATTAGAAGGTCTATCTTTTCATGTGGAGAAATTTCTTACTTTTAGTTTACCATTTTTATATTTTCTATTCATGTTTCTAAAAACATATTTTATATATATATGTATATGTATTATGTGCTGCATATACTTTCCCATTCCTGTTTGTTCTAGACTATCTTATATTTGATAATGTGTGTTGTAATACTTCCTCCAGAACTGACTGGGCCACTTGTTATCTCTTTCCCCTTAAGAAGAATCTCAAAGTCCCATGGTTTTCCTCATAAGACCTTGTATGTCAGTTTGTAAACTCCTATAGGAAATGAAATGTGGGCTAAGACTCTAAAACTCTAAATGTATTCTTCACTTTAAGGAGTTCTCTCTTTATGAAATAATAATTATGACCAGAAGACATCCATAGATAAGCAGACCCTCCCAGACCTGAAGAGACTCTGGCATAAAAGGAGATCATAGTCTTAATTGACTGTGGTTCAAATCTCTTATCATTGCAGATTTTATAAAAACTTGTGACCGTGTAAATGTACTGTAGGGCATCTTCAAGGTCCTTGGAAAATGCCTGCACATATGGTCAGGGACTTGACGTTTCATTCACTTCTGGTAAATCACAATTATTTCAAACCTGTTCCACATCACAATAGACTATTACACAATAAAATATAAACTTCGTTATGCTCAGGACAAACCTTCAAATTTCAACTAACCTGACAGTACATCCTTTGCAGTCACCTTCTATTTCCCGGAAGTTCCATAAACCTATAGGTTTGCTGTCAAAGTATGTTTCTCCCATACAGCCAGTAAATGTGATCACACGTACAGCATCAGCCTTCTGCAGAGAGACACATGGCATTTGTTAGAGTTTAGGATTTGTGAATTATTAGTGGCAGAATGCAGAATGGCTATGATATAGTCATTAAGATAGTCTTGGTATTCTTCTTTTGACCATATTATACCCTCAAAGCTATTACAAGATGGATCGAAAAGGGGAAAGCTGGAATAGTTCATCATTGGCTCTTGATTATTCTTAATAAACTACCTGAAATGGGACTTCATTTCCCACTGGGTGTAGTATATGCATTAGTAAAGGCAAATGTTTTTCATGTCCTTGGGTAATTGATTCCAGAACTCTCACTGATACTCAATCTTCAAATGCTGAAATCTTTTGTATGAGATGGGGTAGTATTTATATGTACATTTTCCAATAGACTTCATATGATCTCTAGATTACTTATGAAATCTAACATAAATGCTGTGTAATCAGCTGTCAAACTATACTGTTTAGGAAAAGAAGGCAAGAAAGTATCTGCAAATCTTCAATGTAGATTCAATTTTATATTTCAAACATTTTCCATTCCTTGTTGATTGAACATGAGGATGGAGAATCCATATATACCAAGGGCAAAATGTTAACAATTTCCAGCTTCTAACCTTAGACTAACTGTTGAGCTTTCCCACAGACATCTGTAGTATGGGATTGTTGTGAAAATTAAATTAGTTTTATAATCCTAAATTCAGTGCAAGATATGATCTCTTTCATTTGTGGATCTTACCTCCAAATCCTTAGATATGAGAATATATCCTTATGTAACTGCAGGAGCCATGGGGGTAAAGGGGAAGAAGGAGCCCCGGGGAGGAGGATAATTGGAGACAGGCGTTATCAAGGGGGAAATAGGGAAAATGGGGATACTTTACCTGGAGGAAGGAGGGAGGGTATAAAGGGGGAGAAAGAAGTGATACAAATAGTGTTTAGGGGGTGTGAAAATCCAGAGGGAAATGTATTGGTTCAAAGACCTACTGAAATACACACACACACACACACACACACACACACACACACACATGAATGCGTGTGTATAACTGAAGGTGACATAACAAAAAACAGTGCTAAACACGAAAAACCTTCCTTTGAGTTGTTGGCCAGAGTAGTCCAAGAGATTCCCAAAATAACACAGGCTATTGCCACAGCCCTTAAATACCTCCCAGAACTTGAAGGTAAGACTCTATTGCTAAAGAAAGGACATATTTTAGGCACAGAACTTGGAGTCATTGAGCTGGAACTGACCTGGAAACCTCTTCCCTGAAGACTAGTTCTCATAGCATTAGAGGATATGATGCATGCTGTTAAGGGAGAAAACCAATGGTCCAACACAGCTATAAAGCCCAATTCAGTAATAATCACAATGACTAGCACAGCAAACTATTAGTGCAGAGGCAGCACTTTTATCTTGGGGATAATCAACAGCTATCTAATTGTGCTTAAAGTCTGCTCAACGGGAGGGAACTCATATGTGGTACTGTAAACATAGCTAAATACACATGACTGGAGTCATCATAGATGCTATAGAAAGACTTATGTCTGTCACAGCCCTAGAAAAATCTAGTTTCTTACTATATGCTAAATATGTATCATTATATTTATAGACAAATATACCTCCCACCACTCATCAAGAAGCTTCTTTTTACAGACTTCCACAACTGGACAAATGCAGAGAATGTGTCTGTGAGATGCCTAGCCATAAGTGACACATTTACAATGGAACCTCTACACCTAAGACTCAAGGAACATCAACTTCTTATATTGAAAACCTAACCCTGACAGTGTGGGAACTTTGGGTAGTTAGATCATGAAGGCAGACTTTCCATGAATAGGATTAGTACCCTTGTAGAAGAGACTCAAATAAACTTATTTACTATTTTTAACATGAAAGGACATAAGATGGTATCTTCCATGTAGAAATTACTCTCATTGAACACAAATCTGTTGGCACCTTGGTCTGGGACTTCTCAGCTTCCAGCACTATGAGAAATTTGTTTATTTTTTCAAACAATCCAATTTTATGATATTTTTGTTATAGCTGGCCAAACAGACTAAGACATACCTTTTGGGGTTGTTGTGGAGATTAAATGAGTAGTTATGTAAATGTTTTGGAACCTTACTTAGCATATAGTACAGGCTATAAAATGCCTTTAAATTTTATTGTGTCCTTAAATAGGAAGCACAACATACATTTCACTGTCCTTTTTGCATAGAGAAAAGTGAAGTTCAAGGGGTTAAATGTCTCGCCCAAGGTCATATTTGAGTAGTAGAGAGAAGGAAATCCTACATAGATGTGATTTAAAAATTCACAACTTTTATGCTTCTATGTGATACTCTAGATTGATCTTTTAGGAAGCAGGGAAACTTGTCAATATGAATGTAATACTAGGTATCACATGTATTTATATGTAGTTCTATGGAATGAGGACTAAGTGTGTAGTTGAGGAATCAGCTCTCACACTTCAGACTCACATTTCCTACACAAAGCAGAGAGAACACTTCACTCTAAGTGAAGGTTGAGCTCTCATAAATTTGGGGTCACACTGGCTTTTCACATTTTCTGACTAATCTCATCCCAGGGTGATTTTGACAAGTCTGGGATTATCCATTATATTCGGGTGTGCTCTTGCATCTCACCCACAGGTCGTTTTTCAACACCTAATTCCATTTAATCAACATAAGCTACTTTCAAATGCAAGCACTTCGCAATTTGAAATGCACAAGGACCTGCCATGAAGCAATTATGAATATTAAGTGCAAAGCTCTGTAAGGGTAGAAGAGCAACTCAACTCTTCAAAGCAGATCATCATTTGAAAGCTTTTGGCTCCTGTGATATTTCCTGAGGATTCATAAATATTTTAATTAGATATATGAACTTTATAGAACTTCATATTTATAAATCATAAGTTGATTTAGAAAATTATGTATATTTAAGGAACACTTCACTCTTGAGGTGACTGAAACAAGAATATTTCAAAAAAACTTATCTCACAGATAAAGATTAAGCTGCTATCGAAGGTTTACAAATATGGTCTCTCTAGATCGAATGCTATAAGTCAAAGAAGAAAGTTCTGTTGGACATCATGACACATGCCTGTCATCCTAGCAACTGGCAGGCTGAGATAGGAAGATGACAAATTCAAAGTCCATCTTGGCTACATTGCAAGACTCTATCTCAAAAAACAAAGCAAAGTAAAACAAATTACCACAGAAGAATATTCTTATGGAAAATAAGTTTATGTTTCACAAACATAAGTAAAAGTGGACAGGTTTTTGCAGAATTCTACCATGCCTTCTAGCCATCCATAAAAATGAAAGTAAAAGGCCAGGAAAGAGCACATTACCTTTATTTTCCCAGTCAAGCCACCAACAAACAGCATTGCATTTGCATCCACATCTAGAATGGTGTACCCCGGGGGAGACACTGAGTGGTAGGTGCTGGGCACAATGCTGGCTTTGGGCCCATCCAGGGCTCTCACAGAAATAGATCCATTTCTTCCAGTTCTTCAAACACACATGCACATTAAAATGAAGGGAAAAGAGGTACAGAAAATGACATTTGCATCACATTTTTAACAAGATTTCAAAGAAAAAAAAATGAAGAGTCATCTTGAAAAACTTCAGATAACTGGACACTTAGGTCCAAGTATTCCAGATTCACAGTATTTCAAATTGACACCCAGAGTCTGATTTTTGCTCTATGTTTACTGTCAGACTCAAAAAGGAAGAGAGAATAACATAGCCTGATTCTGTGTGTGTCCACTGATATGAAAGGACACAGCAGCAATTAGCTGATGGAATTATTATAAATCAAGTGGAAAGCCTCGTCCCCCTTGCTTGATAAAATAATTTACTGTTTTCTAATGTGTGCAACCTAAACAAGTTTTATTACTTCATTTAGTATTTTGTCAAATTTAATTTGGCAAGTGAACCCAAATGAGCCACCCTTCTGCAGCACGAGCTGTATGATTTTGCCTAAAATTCCTTATAATGGATCCATATTTGCTGAAGTGGTTTTCCCAGAATTGTAGACCTTTTATTGTTTGCCATATCATCTTACTGTATACAGTATAACAGCTAATTTTCAGAGCTGTGCATACAAATTTACAGAAGTACATTTTAAATTCAATTAGGAGAACTTTGAAAGTCATTGTCACTTTAATTCATTTTCTTTCTTAAGTGATCCATTTCCATGAGTTGTTAAATATGAAAATCTGGGCTTTCTTCTGAGATGGAGTCATAACAAAACTTCATTGTGATAGTCCCTCCCCCTGCTGTCTCATTTTGGTAAACTCTTCATCTTTGAGAGGATAGTACTAAGTGAATCACACGGCAACAAAAGAGTACAGCTGATCAACTTGGGTTCTTGAACAGAATGAATCTATTCTGATAGACCTGTACTTTGTGAGAATAAATGCCCTTAAACCCAGAGAAGTATACATATACAGATTTTGTTGAATATTTTAAAAGGAATTAAAATGACGGCTTCTCCTTAAGTCTTCTTTTAAACATTTTTTTTGTGTGTCTGCACATGCAATGTGGAGGTCCAATGCTCACACTGAGTCTTCCTCAACTCCTTCCCACCATATCCTTTGAGGGAACATCTTGAAGCTCAGCTGAGTTTGCTGATATAACTTGTTGAGATAGGCAGTTTGTTCTGGACTCGTCTGTCTCTGCCTTCTGATTACTGGAATTTCTGGTGGGCCCCACACCGGTATTTATATGATTTGGGGGGGATCTGAACTCTGGTCTTAACACTCGCACAGCAAGCATTTTATTCACTGAGCTATCTCCCCAGTCCTTCTTTTAAACGTTTTATTGTAGAAAATTGTAAATTTCTCAAAGCTAAATGACACTGTATGAACCTCTCACTTAAAACCAAAAATAACCAGTTCACCAAGTCCTCACCTTTCTCTGATCCGTTTCACACCATCTTGAGTCTTTAAACAATACCAATCAACTGTTTGCAAGGTACAAAGACTTACTCAGGGTTTAGTGGGGAGTTGAGAATTGGAGAAAGAGAAATTGGGGGGGCACTAAGGATCAGAATGAACCTTATATGCTACAAGAGTTGAAAAAATGAATTAACTGATTCAACTCTGTAACTTTTCATTTTCAATAGTATGGATGGACCTGCATATTAGATACAGGAACCAGCATTTTGACACAGAATATGCCTGTAGGCGGGGATTCTAAACAGACTAAAGAGGACCTGAGCACACAGAGATAATAACGGAGATTTTTGTGTTCTCTTTCATATGAACAAGTATCTGCATTTTTTTCTTTTTCCTTTTCAGGTGAGTTAAGCTGTCTGAAACAGTTTTTCTCATTCCACTCCAACTCTTATCAGAAAACTGATAAGGGGTTAGAATTGGACTGGCCACTCTGGTTAGTACGTTGAATGCACATCTGTTCCCAGCAGGAATGACAAATCCACATTTTCACACATTTAGTCATCTAATACAAAACTTTCACATGCGTATTTATATTCACACACAGCTACATTATTGAAACGGCAATAGAATTCTGTTGCTCATCTATTGTTATCTTAATCTTTATTGAAAAGTTACCTTGACGCTTCAATACGGTACCAATTTGAGTCATCGATAGTCAAATCTGGATACTCTACACGCCCAACTCCAGAGCCCACATCCCAGAGGAAGCTTACTTTGCCTTTACGCATTTCTATGGCGAGAAAGTCAATCTAGTTCAAAGAAATGTGAAAATAATACACCAGATATAAATCATTCTGAAAGAGGAGGCCTCTGGAGCACTTTTCCAGCAGCATGTGAAACAACTGTATTAAGAATTCTTCAGTTTTCAGTCAGCGCACTGACAGTCACCACACCCTCTATAAGAGGGAGTTCTGATTTTTTAGAAAACATTTTATTTATTATTTTAATTTACATATATGGGTGTATTGCCTGGATGTATGTAAGTGCACCCATGTCATGCAATGCCCAAGGAGGTAAAAAGATGGTGTGAGGTCCCCTGGAAGTTATGGACAGTTGTTAGCTGCCATGTGGGTGCTGGGAACTGAACCTGGGTCCTATACAAGAGCTCTTAACCACTGAGCCATCTCTCCCGCCCCTGATTTTTTTTAACCCCATGTGAGCTAAATTTCCTTCTATGAATGGCAAGTACTAGCTCATGCCACAGCCAGTCTATTTAAAAATCTTATTCCTTGGGGATCCCTACACTGCAAAGTCAAGTCATTGAAATGGAAAGAACTGGAGTTTTGAGGTGGATTTCTTGTGCAGCTTCAGTTTCAATCATAAATTCAACAAGTCAGAAGAGTTTACATTGGTAAGAAATTTGTATACAATTTGTAATTTTCATTTCATTAACATGAAAAATTAGATCTGAAGAGATGGCTCAGCAGTTAAGAGTACTGACTGCTCTTGCAGAGGACTCGGGCTCTATTCCCAGCACCCACATGACGGCTACAAACTGTCCTTAACTCCAGCTCCAGGGGAATCCAAAACCCTCTTCTGACCTCTGCGGCACTGCACGACATGGGTGCACCCATATACATGCAGGCAATACACTCATACACATAAAATAAAAATAATAAATAAAATATAAAAAACATGAAAAATTATTATAATGTCTTAGTTTGCGAAGAGAAAATATAGTCTTTATTCCTAGAATAGGTTTTCTTCTTAAATAGCTAGACTCTGAAAACATAATTCAGAATAAATGTGGGCCTACCAGCAAATGAAAACAGATATGCCTAAACTCTGTAAAGGATCATCTCCTGTTTATTTGCTTCTAACTTAATTTGACATCTCAGAATTTTGTGAAGTAAGAGTCCATGGAGTTCAAACCTGAGAGTCTACATTAAGATAATCTAGGGGATGTTATTCTAGGTTCTATATGTTTTCCCCGTTATCAGAATTAACCTCTGACCTTTATACATACATAGTAGCTTAGAGAAAAGCTGTACATAATACTCACAAATTTGGCGCTTCCAAGGTAAAAAAGAAGGTTGTCAGCAACAGCTGTCTTGACATTAACAATAATATTATTGTAGCTTCCTTTCTTGATTTCTGGCTTGTATGTTCGAATACAATCTCCTCCTGAAGACACAGATACTTTGATCTTCAAGAAAAACAAGGTAAAAAGACCTATGACTAAATCTCTTCAAAAGTTTGAAGCAGTTCCCAAACAACCTCCAAGCCATCATGATTCTTTTCTTTGAAGCAATTTTTCAGTCATCAAATAGCATCATTGAATTCCCCTCTGTAGATACATTCTACTCATTAGGGGGTCAGTTTTCCCCTAGCATTTTGCCAATGAGCTGTTCCAGGTTCTCCATCCTATTTGTTTCCATGTTACTATTTTTGAATTATGCAGCTAACAAATTCTTACCTTCATACAATTCTCCCTTACAGAAACTTTTCAAAAGAGGGATTTTATACAAAATAAATAGGAATGATCTTCATTAAGTTTATTTAATGAAATTTTGTAATTCAAATTTCAGTAATTTTGATATCACTCAGAGTAGGTATCCAATTTTTATTTAGTTTTCAAGAGGATATTATCAACCCTCTCATGCACTTACTCAAAAGAGGCCAAATAGATTTTGTTCTAGATCTTCTAACAATAAGAATATTAATCATTCTTCTCAGAACATATATTTTGGGATAAATTATACTTTCTTATTAGGTTACCAGGAAATGAGATGGAAATAATTTCCAAATGTCTGTCACTACTAATATATATAACAGCTTCTTTCCTTTCTGAATAGTACTTCAAAAATTACTATAAATTGCTGAGAATGGAATCCTTCTGTGAATAGAATGACACTGTTCATGCCAATTTTTACTTGTATTCAAGGAGCCTTCGTTCAATCACAAATAACACTATTTGATTATTGGATTTAATTTCCTTTCGGCCAGGTACAAAAATCACCATCAGAGATGTACTTTTCAGATAGCACTGTAGTTGACTGGATGCAGAGTAGCTGTTACTTTGGTGATTGATGGTGCTCCAAGTAGGAGGCAGAGCCAAAGAAGATGTGAGAACTGCTTTGCCACTTCCCCAGATGTCCAAGTTCGGGAGGCCTGCAGGCCTTCACAGCAGTGACCTTCCATTTGTCCATGTCTTCCTGCACGTTCTGCTTTTCATATAGCAGACTTGGAGAAGCACCAACTAGTATTATTATTTCTATGAGAAATTTGTGCAGACTCCATAGAAGATAAACTAGGCTACCAAACCAAACTCCATACTATGGTAAGATAAGGTGGTGCCTTCAAGAGTCACATTTGGGTGTGAGGGCAGGGAACATTGTGGCTCCTCTCTATTAGTCTGAGGAGATGTTAAATGCAGAATTGGTTGTATTCATAAAAGAAAAATGAAGGAGAGATATTTGGGTACTGAAAAGCATGTGAATTCACATTTGGGAACTTCCACTGAAAAGATAGATCTGCTAGTTCTCCAGTAGACATAGGCCATGTGCTTGGCAACTGTTTCCTATCCTGATATGCTAAACAATCTATGCAGAGGAAACTACTCTGGGACAAAATGGGCTTTTTTTGGTTGTCTGAAGCTGGAATGGTCTAGGAAATCTACTTAGATGATTTTGTGCCATTGTCCCCTCCAGGGTGTGATCCAGCCTTCAACTGATTGATCAGGACCAAAGATCATTTTGGATCTCAGAACATTTGGTTTGTGTCCTTGTAAGTTGGTCTTAGTACTGTGGTTTTCAGTTAGAAAGTGAGTTTTTTGCTTCACTTATGATGAAATTTTCTTTCTATGTGGTACAAAGTAGCTGAATCAAAATGAATTACAGAAAACCTGCGCCAGGGAACATAAAGTTTTACCCTGCGTGTTAATACTGCGAAATAGAGTGCAATGGGAGTTGGCAAAGAATGTCATGTGGCAGAGACACAGCTGTGCAAAGAGTTACCCAAGAGCTCACAGATGAAAAGGATAAAGCAACACAAAGGGAAGACAGTATAATAGAAGGCAGGTAGGGAAAAATGCAGTCTTCAGATATCTGTAATATTCAAGGAAAGGTATAATGTATAGTACATTTTCAGGAACTTGTAGCAAGTGAACCAAAAACTTCATGAGAAAAGACTGGAATTGAGCAGATTTAGTATCTGAGGCAAGTCATAAATGCCCTTGATATCATAAGAGGATCAAAGAGAACAAGAAATCAAGATCTGAACACAATTCATGAATAGAATTAAATAATAGACTCAACCATCCCTGGCAGGAAATCACATTCAGAATCATAGTGGGACTTGATTAGTAATGAAAAGAAACCGTGTGTAGTCTGTTTTATCTTTACTTCATACATGCTTTATAGATTTACCTCTAAGGTCATCTTATGACTACTTTATTCTTAAATAATACATGTTTCTTAGATGAACTCAATTAATGCTTGTTGGTTATTGCTTAGGGATGAAATGATTGAGTATGTGGACTGTGTGACCATTTGGCCACAAGACAGGTTTCAGACTTTGTCTATACGACAATGGTAGAAATAATGGAGTTCAGAACTGGGACACTGAAGGAGGTGCTGTGGAGAAAAGACACAGTGCTCAAGTGAACAGCTGAAGCTGCACCCGAGAACTCAGCCCGAGTGTGGTCACTTTCAAAGTGAACAGCTTCATTTCACTTCGATTTATAGCAAATGTACTTTATAGCATAGTTTAAATACCTAAAAAGTATGAGTTTTTGAAGAAAATCACATTGGTATGTTCAGTGTTTTAGCAATTAATATTGTAAAGCAACCTATTTCTATTATGCATATAGACACCTTCTGAACTAGCTGTTTTCTGGTTTCTGGTTTTGAATAAATTCCCCAAACATGAAAATTTCAGGCATCCAGCATGAGCCCTGCCCTTCACAGTAGGTGCCTGTGACACCTGATGAACCCAGCATACCCTACTGGACTCCACCATCTCGTAAACTGTTGCCAAATAGTTCATAATTACAAATTGCCTCTTGTAAATACAGTGTGATTTCCAATTATAGATGAATTTTTAATCAACTTACAGGAGACAAATCAAAATATAATATCTATACATCTCTTTAAGGGAAACATATCCTTTTAAGAGTGGTGAAATTTCTAAAATACAAATATCTTATTGGGAAGTTTTGCTATACCAATTACTATATTTCTAATGTAACAACTTGGTAAGAATTCTAAAAATATGAGTAAATTAGATGTTTCTAAGTTGTTTCTTGTACAGCATTATTTACCGGCTAATCATAATAAATTAAACATTACAGGATATACCATTATGCTATATAATTGATTTTCACTGTATTTTTCATCTAGCAACATGTCATCTATATAAAATCAGCAATAGCTACTCAATTATACAATCAACAAATTAAAAGGAAACTACTTAGAAATAAATGTGTTTAATTTCTTAGGTAAGAATGTCTTTCCTGGACTGGTGAGATAGCTCAGTAGGGTAAAGGTGTTTGTTGTTGAACTTAATGAACTGAGTTTGATCTGTAGGACCTGTATGACAGAAAAAGAGAATGGACCACCATTAGTTGTCCTCTGACCTCCATATGTGCACTGTGGCATGTACTTCTCCAATAAATAGATGTAAAAATAAAATAAATGCATAAGGAATAAATGTTTTTCTTAATTTTAATATTGAGTATGTGAGGGTCAAATTTAGATGCCCTTGTCAAGTTGCAGATAAATTTACATGTCAGAAGATGTAATCTTCAAGGGATGGGAATGTAACTTAGTATTTGCTTAGCAAATGACAGGTCCTGAGTACAATCACTAGTGCAACAACCAAAAATAAGGAAGAGGAAGAAAAAAAGGAGGAGGAGGAGGAGTTGTTTGGGAAGAGGGAGAAAAGAAGGGAGGAAGGAAGGAAGGAAGGAAAGAAGAGAGAAGGAAAGAAAGAAAGGAGAAAGAAGGAAATAAAACTTTCAGTTAGAATAAAATTCCTCTGAATGGCTGCTTAGATATTTCTAATATTCAGTATTTCTAGCATTCAACCGAATAGATTACAAAAGCAATGTGTATTGTTGTAACTTCCACTTTTAAAATTGAATGAATTCCTTGAAAGGAATGGGTAATGGTTACTCTTCTATCACTATTTAAGACTATTCTTATCACTATTTCAGACTATTCTTTCTCTTTGTCATTTTAGATATGCTGATGCATGTACATGTGAAAATGTTGCCTTTTTCTGCCAGGAGGAGGAGAGCTCTGATGGAAAATGGGTAGAATTTCCCATTTCTTATAAGAAAGAAATAAAAGCCAGATGGCATGCACCTTTAGCCCTAGTCCTTCTGAGACAAAGGCAGGTGGATCTCTGTAAGATCAAGGCTAGCTTGGTGCGTATTAGTGAGTTCCAGAAAGGCTGGGACTAGGAAGACCCTGTGAAAGAAAGAAAAAGAAAGAAAGAAAGAAAGAAAGAAAGAAAGAAAGAAAGAAAGAAAGAAAGAAAGAAAGAGAAAGAAAAAAAGATGAAAAATTCATATTTTTCTCAGATGGTGACTAAATCAGAAACTGACTAAATGTGTGATTCCTGTAAGACTGTTAATAACACCTCTTTAAAGCAGGTGTGGTGGTATACATACACCTTTAATCCCAGTACTCTGAAGGTAGAGATAAGCAGATCTCTGGGAATTCAAGGCCAACCTGGTCTACATAGTGAGTTCTAGACTTTGTCTCAAAAATTAAAACAAAACGAAACTTCTTCAACGCTAACTTTGCACTATATATTTAGGTAAAACACATTGTTCACTTGCTTTCTTTTGTTAGAAATCAGGTTTTCTTTAAGATTTCTCTTATAGCCCTGCCCTATAAAGTACTTATGTATTCATGTTAAAAAAGCACAGCTCTGGTTAATACTATGTTTCATACTTAAACCACTTTGCTTATTCTCACCAATGGGGATCATCCTAAGCACAGTTGTTACCAAATGGTGAACTTGGCTTGATGTTCCATTTAAGGACTGACAATGCTATGGATACAGCTCAGTGGTAGAATACCCACTTAGCACATAGGAGGCAGTGGGTTCCATCTCCAGTATCCCCAAATTGGCTGATGATACCTGGCTTCCATTGACATTTCTGATAATCCAATTACTCCTGATAAAGTAGCTCTTTCATGAACTGACCTCAAAGCTTCCTTCCCCTGTCTCTGTCCAATCTATTGCCAAGTTTCACAGCTTGATCTCTACTGCTGCTCTTAACTACCTAACATTATCTTACTTTAAGACTTGGTTTACATCTTTCCCTTTGGGAAACCCTCTGATCCTACTAGAAGTGACCTTTCAGAAAGCTAGTGCTATGCAGCACCATATTCTTCATTATCTTAGAATTGTTTGCATACAGGCATGCAATGATTCATATTGTCATTTGGCTGGGCTGTAGAATCATTAAACAGACAAGTTTATGGGTATGCCTGTAGGGTACCTAGATTAGGTTATTTGAGCTGGGAAAACTTGTCCTGTTTGTGGTACCATTTCTTGGGCCTGAGTTCTGTAAGGCATAAAAAGATCGTGAGCTGAGAACAAGCATTTATCTATCTGTTTCCTGACAATGTGAGCAGCTGCCCTAGGCTCCTTCCCTACCATGACAGAATGTATACCCTGAAACTAAAGCCAAAAGAAATTCTTTCTTCATGCTGCTCTTATCAGGTACTCTTTTTTTTGTAGCAATGAGGCAAGTAACTAATAAAAAATTGGTAGCAGAAGAGGTGTCACTGCTGTGTTTTTGACCATGGGGCTCTTATGCCTTCAGAACAGGCCTGAAGGAAGACTGTAGAGGAGTTTGAAACTTTGGAGTAGAAAAGACCTCAAACACTGTAAGCAGAGCTTCATGGGCCATTATGATAGAAATTTAGAAGACCAGAAGGTTGGTAGAAATGTGGACAGTGAAGACCAGGCTCATGAGGTTTCAGAAGGGGAACAAGGGCTCTATCAGGAACTGGACTAGAGGCCATTTAGGTCAGGTTTTTGCAAAAGATCTGTGGCAGTCTGCCTGTATTCTGAGAACTTACATGAGGGTGAATGTGAAAAGTAATGGACTAATGTGGTTGGCAGAGAAAATTTTAAGGTGGAAATAGTATTCTGGCCATGGCATGGCAATTTTCTATCATTCTTAGATCTACTGTGAAAAAGAGCAACAAGTGGGGCAGAAAGATATAAAAATGTGGTTTGTGAAGGAAGAGAGTTTGAGCAAGTTTAAAGTTGTAGCTGAGACAGGTGCTGAAAAATTGGCTATATATGATAAAGAAAATCCTCCTGCTCTTCACTGGGACAATAGGAATGATGTCCTGAGGACAAGACCCCACTCATAAAAGCTTCGAACTTGTGAAAATGCAAATTAATTTGAAGGGCATCAGTGAGCCTAACATGAGATGACACTCCCTGTTTATGGAGGAAAACTATGTAGGGACGTGTTTCCCCAGGGTCAACAAATAAAGGTTGATACAACTGAGGTACAAAGGTGCCAGGCTCCATCCCCAGCTGGCAGTGAAACTTGACAACATCAACCATAAGGTATTGGTTTAGCAGGCATAAAATATGCCTACTGAGGTAGGCATGGAGTCTTTCATCATGGTTCCAGAGAAGGACCGAGGCTAGCCAATATGTTGGGGGTTTGGAGCATGAAACCATGATGGTGAAGCCTACATTTCAATGGAGATCCCAGGATGTTGGACATGCAAGAATCATCAGAGGCCCATTAAGGAAAGCTATAGGAGTGGAGTGGAGCCTAAGAGAGAAACTGTGTGTGCTGTAGAGGCAGAGCTGGATGATTGGGGGTATCCAAGCCCTTTGTAGCTCAGATAATTCCATCACGAGCTCGAGATGCTGGACATGGAGCTGCAGGGCTTGCCCTGCTGGGTTTCAGTTTTGCTTTAGTCCAATTATTCCTTGTTATGCTCCCATTTTTCCATTTTAGAGTAGGAATGTTAATCATGCCAATATATATTGGAAATACATGAACTTTTTTTTCATTTTATAGGGGCTTACAGTTCAAAAATTGCCTTAGGTCTCAGAAGAGACTGAATTTTAAATAGCATTGAATTGTTAAAGACTATGGAGAGTTTTGAAGTTGGATGGAATGCATTTTGCATTATATGAGTGCAAAGAGAATAAAGGGACAAGACGTAGAAGATATGCCTTAAAAGTGATTGAGTGTCAAGTTTACAAAGGATCGATTGTAATGTTTGATACTGATTTTCAACTTGAAAAGATCTAGACTCACTAAAGAGAAAGTATCGAGCTTGTCTATAGGGGATCTAGATGAAGGTAACTGAGGTAGGAAGACCCACTCTAACAGTACCATTCCATGGGCTGGGATCCTCAATTGAATCAAAAGGGAAAGAAAGCTGAGTATAGCATTCATGATTCTCCACTTTTTTATTGTAAACATGATGTGACCAGCTGCCTTCCGTTTCTGTTCCCATACCTTCTCTGAATGACAGACTGTATACCTAAGAACTGTAAGCCAAAATTAACCTCTCCATCTTTAAGGTGAGTTTGTCAGATAGTATTTGCAGTGATGAGACAAGTAATTAATATTATGCCCTATTTCTTTTATTCATTATCAGTTTTGCAAGAGAAATATCTGCCTAATTCATCCTTGCATTATTCTCAGGAAAAAGCACTGAACATAGAGATGCATTTTCTTCATTGTGTAAAATCTTTCATGAAGCTTGTAGCATTGAGTTTCATTTCACCTTGTACTTTGCCTACATAATGATCACCTGTCAACCGTATTACATAGTTTTCATATTATAGATGGATATGCATCTTCTCAGATCACATCGCTGCTTCCTTTACTCAGAGCTTACATTATATTCTTTTCTCTAATTTGTCATTTTCTATAATTTTCTTCAATGAGTCAAGGTCCTTGTCAGTATTCACCTTGAACTTTATTGTCTTGGCCTTGTTTAGATGTCTTACATACACACAAGCACACATATATGTATACCCATGGAGGGAAAAATATAATACCACTCAGATATAATCTTGGTCATTATTAAAAAGTATTAATTCATTGATCATGAAAGAGATTTTTTTGATCATTCTAGCTTGAAAGTGCTTTAAAGAAAAATAATATTTTATGGAAGCTTAAGTTGAAACTTGACAATATTAAAAAGTGTTTTATTAAAAATTATTATACTTAGGGGCTGGAGAGATGGCTCAGCAGTTAAGAACACTGGTTGTTCTTGCAGAAGAACCAGGTTTGAATCCCAGCACCCACATGGTAGCTAACAACTGTCTGTAACTACAGTCCCAGGGGATCTGACAGCCTCTTCTGACCTCTGGGGACATTGCATGACAGGAGTGCACTTACATACATGCAGGTAATACATGCATACATATAAAATAAAAATAATAAATAAAAATTTACAAAAATTATACTTAAAGTCACCATAGTTTGACTATATATATATAAATATATATATATAATTTCATGTTGGCATTTAAATATTCCAGTTGAGGGCTTATGGATGTCTTGGCTGGTAAAGGGGTTGGTGCCAATGCTGATGATTGGCATTCAATCCCCAGGATCCATATGGTGGAAGGAGAACGAAGACCAGGAAGATAGAAACAAATGTAAAAAATATTAGCTCATTAGCAGGATTTTTTCTAGAAAGTTCTGCGTCTATCCTTGTGGAGTTTCTAATTGGGTAAATATAGAGCAAAAGTTCAAGTCAGATATTTCCTATACTTACTCCAAAAATATATAAAAAAAAATTAGATACGGTAACAAAAGTAACTTTTGTGGTTTATAAAAAAATTCAGGCAAAAGAATACACTACAATGGAAATAACGGCTCCTCTTAGTTATTTCTCCATAAAACCTTGTTAATTTATTCAGGCTGCAACCTCACTCATTGGCTTTTTCACATTTTTCAAGAGTAGAGTGCTCATCTATTCCTTGTAGTATGCGAGAGTAAGCTTTTAATTTGTGCTATTTGTATTAGTCTATTAAAACAATAATAAAATACATCAGAATTCCTAACTCTCAAACAGAAAGTACTGATCATCCTTTTCAGGAAATGGCTTTGAGATTTGTAAGGCATGAGTCTCACTTTTTCTTCCTTCCTACCTAAAATAGCTCCAAGTTTACGAAGTAACTTAGGAGGTATGCTGGGGCAGACATTCCTCTGGGACTAATCTTAACATTTATAATCAGTTCCTGATTCTGAAAATAAGAAAAGCTTACAGAATTGGCTTGTTTCCGGGCTTGGTTTATGAGTTCCTTTATCTCAGAGATGTTTTTCTTTAAGTTATCCTCAAGTTCCTTGATGGGTTTTATCTTATCTATCAGCCGATCAGCTTCTTGTTCTAGATTTTTCACAGTGGCATCTGCATCTGCAACTGCATAAAGCAAAATTAATATTTGTTTGTATATACACATACAAATACACACACAGACACATACAGATGCACACAGAGACACACATATGGACACACAGATACACTCAGACACATACCAGTACATGAACAGATATACAGACAAACATACACACACACACAGAGATACACACACAAGAGGCACATACAGATTCACACACACAGACACAAGACACAGACACACAGATACACACCAATACATGTAGAGCAACAAAGACCCATATCCAGACATACACAGATACACACACAGAGACAGACAGAAAGACACACATACATACACAGATACACACACAGAGACAGAGAGAAAGACACACATACACACACACACAGATGTAAAAATGAGAACAGCAGGTAACATAATTTACTAAGCTATTTCATGTTATTCATGTGATAAAGGCAAGGCCATGACAGCCGAAAGGGTGTGTGAGGCAAACTGTGAATATTTTAGTTGAGAATCAAGCAGGCCAGAGGAGGTGTTAGAAAATGTCTTTGGCTTTGTGATTAAGGTGAAAATTACCATTAAAGACAGAAAATATGATAAGCTTAATTAAGTGCTTACCTTTAAGCTTCAGCCTTAAAGCTAACCTTTATGGAATAGTACTTTAAACCACAGAAAAATGAAAAGGAAGCATCTTTAAAATATCACCTGGTCTGTCCAAGCACAAACTAAATTAAAAATCAAAGTTCTCGCACAAAATTAGCTTTCTTTGGAAGAAAGCTAATTTTGTGCGAGAGGTTTGATTTTTGAAAAACTCTCTTTCTTTGCATATCTTTAAGAGAGAAGCTATTGAAATGCGGCCCGAAGAACATTTCAATGTTGAACAACTCTTAGACTGAAGGCCTCTGTTACACTTTAATTAAATCTTTCAAGCTGCAGTTCAATTTCATCTTGAATAGTTGGTCATTCTGCACTATATATTAGGTTGAATCACATTAAACTGCTATTTTTGTAGGTTACACAAAAAGTTGAATATTGGCAATTTCAAAATTCTCAACCCCAAAAGAGTTGAAAGTTATCACTGATCCATAGATGTTTAGTATATGCTTTGCACAGGAGGTCATATAACATGTGAAAACCCAATTATTCTATCGCTAGGATGCTGGCAGTCTTATCCAAACTATGTCATTTGTTATCTGATTGAGGATTCTTCAGCTTTCTGTCATTGTGACCCTGAAGAACTCTGCAAGGTCCAAGGCTACCTGTCCTGTTAGACTATGAATAATCTGCTATTTGGCTGAAAACTAATCCTTAGGCTGAATCCAATATGTTTACATGAAGATAAATTATCATTTATTTTAGTTTATTCTTTTTAATGCTGGAGGCTGAACCCAGGGCCCAGTGCTTGCTGGGCAAAGCATTTTACCACTGAGCTCAATTCTCAATCCAATAATCTATCATTTTAAACTATGTTTTGAAGTAGTTATTTTGATCTCATATAAATAATGGTGTTAGTGGTGTTTATAAAATGTGGAACGAATGTTAACATTATTGGATCAAGACCTGAGTGTTTTTTTTTTTCCTCCCTGAAATGATTGCATGGATGAAAGTCCTTGTCATGTATACATAGCATGTATCACTGTTAACCTCTTGTTTTGTATCCTTGTCCGCTTTACTCTTCCCTTTAACTCTCTAATGTTACTTTATATTCTACAAATAACTCTAGATTTGAGGGAAACTGAGTTTTAGAGTTAGATTCACAACAATGAGAAAAAGGAGCTAAGCAAAGACTACTTAGGCTAAGGTAAATAAAATAACCACTGTTGTTCTCTTAAATCTCCCAGAAGCCTTTAACAAATGCTTCCAGGTGGAACTGGGGATTCTCCCTCCTTCCTTTACCTCTGTTTTTTGAAGCAGCTTAAGCCATATGGAAATTTTCTTCTTGGCAGTTTGAGAAATACCTCTGTGGTGTTGAGTGTGAAGCTTTCTTGTATAGCAGTGTTTGAAAATATTTCTCATTTTCTTCTCTAATTGTTTGACTGAGTAGATTTTAAAATAATGTCTCAAAATAAATTTTGATAAAAGAATGCTTTTATCTGTGTGTATTAGGTTATACATGTATTGGTGTAGCACTTTGCTAAGTGGTCTTTTTAGGGTTAACTTTTCTCCCTTAGCTAGCTCTATCTCCTGTGGGGTTTGCTGGCTTATGCTTTTTTTCTTGTTTAAAACTGCCAGTAATATGTTCTATTATCTTCTGTATTCCAATTTATCATCTTTTCTTTCTTTACATCAGTTTCATTTTTTCTAATTTATTAAGTGATGGCTTAAGATTACTTATTGCAATGTCTGCCTAATTATGTAATCGGTCTACATTATATTGATCCTGTTCTTCAGATATTGATATGCTTGATTTTATAATTATTTTCCTAGTTATTTTTCAGCTTTATTTGTGACTTTAATTTTTATTTATTTATTTTTATGTGTATGAGTGTATTGCCTGCATGGATGTAAGTATACCCATGTCATGCATGGCCTGCCGAGGTCAGAAGACGGTATTGGATCCCCTGGAACTAGAGTTACAGATGGTTGTTAGCTGGCATGTGGGTGCTGGGAATCAAATCCGGATTCTCTGCAAGAGCAGCCAGTGCTCTGAACCACTGAGCCATCTTTCCAGTCCCTATTTGTGACTTTAAATTTAAACTACGAGATGTTCAAGAGAGAATATTTTTGCATTTCAATGTTTCTCAATTGTTAAGACCAAATTTTATTATGTACTTCTCCAAATGTAATTTATTAGAAGTTGAGAATAATTATTTATATGAAGGGAAAGAAAATGAGCTTTAGGGGAAAAGCAACAACATAGACTATTTTATCTAGTTTATTTAATACAAGCATAGGAAAGTCCTTTGAGCTCAAGTAGCTGAATTTGTGTTATCAGAGCCACTGTAATTTGTCTCAATCTGTGGCAAAAGTCAGTTTTCCATGTTTATGTGACTGAGATTCTGATATTTCACCATGTTTTTCATAGCACCATTAAAATATTTTGTATCAAATATATCTATACACTTATGTGGAGGAAGATTCTTTTTATGAGGGTAGAAGGAACAGCTGCGCAATGCTTAAAGCAGTACATGTCCATGGTTATAGGCAAAGCCAAAGCCTTTTGCAACATACATTGAAGCATTAAAGTTATGAAAAAGCATATGAGTAAACATATACATACTGATTTCTGCAGGTAATTTCATATGGAAGTAAAACAAAGAGAAATTAGAAAATTCATGATGAAATATTTTGACAGGTATCATAAAGTAATGACTATATGTAACTAAATACAAATCATTTTATTAATTTCAGTTTTTACTTAGTAAATTCTTAGTAAGTCAATAAAACTTGATGCACTATGTAAAAGATGTGAAGACTTTGTTTACAGACTAGATAAATGGTTTATTTTCTACCAAGAATTAAGTAATTGGACTCTAAATAAGGAATACACAAAAAATTCAAATGTTAATGCATTTCAAGTTGGTGTCCTGCTCTAGCAGGCCTGCTAATGAGTTTGTTCCTTAACCTCTGTGCTCCTTGAAACTTCAAATGTGAGCATATAATCACCTGAGCATAAGTTTATTTTCAATTACACCAGTGGATTAAAAAGTTTTCATCACCCTTATACCAAATAACATGCAGACTTTGAGAACTCCTAGTCTCTTCTTGATTGGACAAAATTTAATGAAAAGGCACCCAGGCAAGCTGGGACACTTGGAGTCTGAGAGTACAGGACACTCAATCCTTACATCAACACTAGGAGAGAGGGTACCACCATGAGGGCTTTTTCTAGCTCCAGCACTTAAGACGCTTTTATGGTGTGAAGACATAAATGACATCATCACAGTGAAAAAGGATCTCTTACTGTTCTTGGATGGATCTTTCACCACGGCGTTTGTTTTGGCCACACTGTCTGCTAGTTTATTGTAGTTTTGCTTCAGGCCTTCCAGGCTCTGGTGCAGGTCTTTAATCTGGGCCAGTACAGCTTTCGCTGTGTCGTTGGCTTGTCTGGCTTTGTCCTTAACAGCCTGTAACTTAGCAGCTGTGTCTGTTGGCAGAAGTGGAGATGAGAAACAAAACAAGGGTCTGCAGTTGATGCTTTCATGCATATTTGTCAGAAAAAGGCTGTGGCTGGCTGACCTCAGAGACACATTTACAGAGGGGAAGGGCTGAACTATGCCTCATTCAATTGTAGCAAATGAAGCAAGTTTCTAGCTAAATTAAATTTTTCTCAGGGACCCCTGTGATGAATGCCTGATTAGGTTTTGAAACAGGAAAGTGATACTCAAAAAGTTTGTAGAACAAGGGCATATTGTGATTTGCTGCTGAACATATTAAAAAGAGGTATTTATCCACATGAGTCATTTAGCTGCATCAAAACCATTTTTCAGGCTTGATCTGTCTTTCCATAGAAGGAAAATGAATGTTTTAATTTTAGAATAGACTTTTTAAAGAATATTAGAACACATGCTTTTGCATTTCTATTTGATTTTTACATTGGGAATTTGGCTGGTTCTTACTATTCAAGAGGTTCCATGAAAACTTGAAAAGTTACTCAATAGCTTTTTACTGTGAAGGAAAAAAGAACATTTAAATTTTAGTATTTTCTGTGTTGTATAAATGTTCGTCCTTATTTTCTGAACATAATTTGTATGCAAAACACATGTTGCTCTTGTGGTTTGAATATGAAATGACTTTTTTTTTTTTTTGGTCTTTTTGAGACAGGGTCTCCCTGTAGCCCCTGCTGTCCTGGAACTCACTATGTAGACCAGGCTGGCCTTGAACTCACAGAGATCTACCTGCCTCCACCTCCCGAGTGCTGGGATTAAAGGCATATGCTACGTCCGGCATGAAATGACTTTTAAAGATTCATGTGTTGAAATCTCTAGAGCTGGGACTTGGGAAGTGTTTGGACAATGAGAGTTCTGCCTTCATCTGCCTTCATCTACTGATCGATTCCTCATTTGATGGCATTATTGGGGGAACCATGGAGAAGAAGGTGGGGCCTGACTGGAGGAAGTGAGCCACTGAAGACATGCATTTGAAGGGTTTCTATTATTTCCAGCATCTTCTGTCTCTGTGTTTTGGCTTCCCTGAGAGGAGTAGCCTCATCTAACACATGCTCCATCGTCATATTCTGTCTCACTACATAGCTATAGTCAAGGGGTTAGCTGAACATACACTAAAATAATGAGCCAAAGTAAATCTTTCTTCCTTTAAGTTGTTCCTATCCATCATTTAATCACAGAGACGGAATCACAACCACAGAATTGAGCAAAAAGATGTATGCCAGCATATCTGTCTTGGTGGTTAAGGCTATGGGCTGTGAAGATAAACTGCAAGGTTCAGATCTTATAAGTGCCACTTAAGTAATTGCCTTTACTATCCTGTTTCTCAGTTCCTCACTTGGAAACTGAAGACAATAATGCTATCCGCCTTGGAGAATTAGCATGAGAGATTGTATATGCTTACCATAGCACACTGAGTAGTAACCACTTATGATTTACAAACTTCATTACTGCATCCCACAAGTAAAATATAAAAATAATATTCCTAAAAGAATATGTACTTTCAGGAGCTAATATCAAACAATAATTTTAAGTAGTTCTAATAGGTCTGACAATATAATGAAATGAATGGTTTTGAAACCTGGAAGAGCTAAGGAGTTCAATTTTGCCAAGAATTGGCAGGCAATAGGTTCTTGTCTGTTGCTGAAGGGGCTCTCATGTAAAGTGTGACTGTGTGATACTATACCAGTACTGAAAGAGTATGTGTGTGCTTTTACTCTTTCCCACTAATGCAAGATTTCTCAGACTGAAACATGGAAGAAAGTATAATAATATGATGTCTATATCTTCCTTTTTATAACATAGTCTATGTGTGCCGGCTAAGGCAACAAAGAGTAAAGTACCATCGTAATGTTAAATGTGGTTTAGTTACTCATTCTCAAAAGAATAATTCACAAGTAAGACACCAGTGTCTATTTTTTGACAACAGTACAAGTGCAATGTTAGAAAACTGGTAGGAGTCAACAAAGTGCTTCAAAAGTACAGATCAGCGGACACAGTGTGCAGGGGCTGGGATGCTTACCATTTGGAATGGCTGATAACTTTCCCAAAGTGTCATTCAGAGCTTGAAGGAGGTCACCATTTCTAACATCAGCACTTTCTAACCTGGCTGTCAAGCCGTTTAGTTGGTTGTGATTTTCTGTGAATATAAGTCAAAAGAGGGACAAAATAATTTGTTTCTTGGTCATTCAATTTCAATTCATTTTAACATTGAATTAACAGAAATCAAGAACATTGATGTAAGCATTTATTGTCATCCACCAAGTCACATAACTCTGCATAAAATCTATGTATTTATTGTCATTAGATTCTTCAAAATGTTTAACCATTACATTTTCTTCTTGGTATTTGGTCTTTATCTGATGGTTTCCTATGGTTTAGAAAGGTCAAAGAATTAGCCTTCTATTGAGTTTTTTTAAAAATGGATTTTTGATATCCTGCCCACTGATTTTTGTTATTTAAAAATCATTATCAAAATGTATCATTGGGTTAGCTTTTCAAAATCTCATATGTAATTGTTGATAAGAATATCCTATTTCAATATCTCCTTTTTATATTTTATTTGTTTTTATTTTATGTATAGGAGTGTATTTCCTGCATGTATATAAGTGCACCTGTGTTGTGCAATGCTCATGGAAGTCAGAGAGGGCATCAGATCAACTGGAACTAGAGTTACAGGTGATTGTTTGCCACCACGTGGGTGCTGGGAATCAAACCCCGGTCCTCTGCAAGAGCAGTCAGTGCTCTTAACTGCTGGGCCATCTCTCTAGCCCCTCGCTTGTTATTTTTATTAACATTTTCTAAGCTTTAAGTTAGTTTACACTGTAATAATAACTCTGTAGTTTAGAGTGTAACTGTACTAAGAACCATGAAATCACTGAGGGGAAAGAAAGTAAAGGCTCAATTCATTGAGAGAAAAAGGTAAGCCTAGAAATCTTACTGAGGTCCAATAAACTGTAAGTATATCTTAAGATTGAAAGGCATTAATTATCCATACTCTTTTTCTTTCATCATTGATTAGTGAACAGTGGAATTGGAAAAACAAAATATGTAAAATCCTATGCTTCTCCTCACTGGATAAAGTGAACTACTTCTTGGTAAAACTACACATATGCAAAATGTGTATGGTGTATGAATGTATGCATGAATATGTGTGCATTTATATGTGCATCTGTATATGCACCTGTGTGTGTATGTGCATACCTGTACAAGCCAGAGGTCAACCTTGGGTGTCTTCCTCTGTTACCATCCACTTTAATTTTTGAGCCACAGTCTCTCATTGAAACGGAAGCTCACCATTTTGGTTAGACTGACTGATCAGCAAGCCCCAAGAATCTCTTCTCTCTACCCCAATATTTGGGTTATAGGCCTGCTACCATGCCTAGCGTTTACATGGAGCCTGGTCTCCACATAAACACTAGTCTTCATACTTTTCTTTACCCATTGAGCCATCTCTCCAGCATTCTTGAATATGTTTTTGATAGTTATTTATCCTGTGATACATGTTTCTTTTGAGAGATGCATGCTAATTCCTTAGTTAGCTCCATGGAATGTAAAATGTAAATATAAGGTAGAGTCTCCAAGTAATGATGTGCATTGGAAAAAGATGGTGTGCTAGTCCTCTTGGACAGGGATGACCAACATTTAGGTCACAGGGATGGTAGCTGTCACTGAGTCTGTGCTGTATACCATATGCAGTATCTGTCAGCTCTGGTGGATTGCTTTCCTTCTTCCTCACATCAGGATTTCAAGAGCCAACATTGACAGGCAGTGATTTTTGAGATAGGGTCTCCCTGTAGCCTCGGCTGGCCTGGAATTCATAGAGATCCACTTTCCTTGCTTTTTATCATCTTCATGATTCCTTTTCTTTCCCCTTTGCTGTCACATTTCAGACATCAGAAGAGAGTCCCATGAGGATTGCCCATATGCAAAACTGATAAACTAATATGTCGAGGGTTTCATATATTTGAGGATAATTAAAAAAAACACAAGGAGAAGATCACAATGAAATATACAAAAAGAACTGTAATATTTAAATAAATTTCTCAAGGTTATCATGTTAAAGAACTATAATGGAAAAGAGAGCTACAGTGTCATATTCATTTATCAGATTGGGAAAAGTTAAGTTCTGATATCAAGCATTCACAAAAGTGTCAGAAGCTCAAATTGATGCTGCTTTTGAAATGGCAATTCAATAAATTTAGAATTTTAAAAAGACATGCATTTAGTCTGACAATTTTTTTTTCTGTACTGGAGATTGAACTCAAGGTCTTGAACATGCTAAGCAAGTGGTCTACTACTGAGTCAGAAACTCACCCAATGATATAAAAGTGTGGTGCACAAACCTAGAATCCCAGTATTCCCAGAGTTTGAGAGGCTGAGGTATGAGAATTGCAAATTTGAGGTGGGTCTAAAATATACAGCATGACCCTATTGCAAAAATTAAAAAGCACATTAATATATATCATCTGGGATATACATTAAGTATTTGCAAACAAAACAGTGTTAAGTAATTAGTTAAGAGTATTCTTTATATTAATATAGCATGTTTGTATATAGGATTCAATTTTTATAAACAATTACATGAGTAGGTATGTTTATAAAATGATTGATGAGGCTTTTCCATCAATAAGTAAGGTACATCATACATGTGCTGATGTACATTTTACAGGGCAGTGATTGGTAACTAGTAGGAGAACATACCTGAGACCCTTGACTGCACTTACCGTGGGATCTAGGAATACATGAGTCAGTATTGGTGGCTTCAGAGAGAGGGAACTGAAACTTCTTGATTTATATGGTTGTACCATATAAATTTATATGGTCGTACCATTTCAGATTTTACTTTGTGCGTATATTTCTGTTCTTTTATTTAGAACACAGTATTTAGCACTGGGGAAGAGTGTCATTTGTCACCTTCGTGTTACTTGACAACACAGGCTTGCCATTTTCATCACTCTTGGTACCCAGGGTGGACAGGTCAGGGGAGAATATATTCCTCAGAATAGAAAGCTAGGTGCTTTGATATAGCTATATCTGCCCATCTCAGTGGCTGGCCTTGGCTGTTAGAGGAGCTGTGCTGGTTAGAAGCAACTGGAGAAGCATCATCCTGACCTCCATTGACTTTCGTATGGAAAGTACGCAAAGAGAAAGGAAGACAGAGGCTTCCAAGTTACCAATGCTCTGGATGTGGAAGACTACTGAACACACTAATTAATGGTATATTCCAATGTATATAGAGGCTTTCATAGGCAGCCCAATTAAGCCACTGTCATACTCTAAAAATAAGCGTGACTATAGTATAGATTATAGTAATACAATCACATCATCTTGTTTAGGATGCTTGATTTCAAGTTCCAAGCAAAAGGCCTAATATTACAGAAAACAAATCATAAAACAGTCCAGCAAAGCATGGTTCTAAAGCGTCAATATGTTTGTCCATTTGGGTCACCAATATATTATTATTTTCAATTCTGTTTTCTCAAAATATACTTTCCAAGTAATTGAATTTTCTCCTCTGTCAATCACAATTCCTCTTTCCTTTAAGACTGCTGTTTTCACTGCTAGTCTAAAATGAAGTCTTTGAGTGGGTTATCAAAAGCTTTCTTTTTGAAATAAATCCAGTCAAAGGGTTATTCTTTTGATAAGAACTCGGAGGTCTTCATCAGTTAAGGAATTAGAACTGTAAAAAATTCATTTCTTACCTTCTTGTCTTTTTATTTTTTAATTTTTTATGTTTTTGATTAAATTTGAGTTTTTAAAATAACAAAGTATTCAAAAGCTCTGACAAACAAGGTATTCATGTACACTGTAAAAAAACAATTACTTTAAAGGGCATCTCCGGTTTATACTATTTTCTGCATTCTCACAGCAAGGACTGGCTGAATAATCCTGCCCATTATTCAGTAGGGAGAAAAAACTGAAAAATATTTTTGCTGATATTTTCAAATTCTAAAGAGATAATTTTGATCCTTTACTCTTTGTACTAGAAAATAAAAATGCATATAAAAGACAAAAATAGAATGTATAGACACAGATTGTTCTAATTTTTTCCCAATTGTTTGACTCTGGTTTCCTCTTAATTAACTCATTCTTATACTGATTAGTTATTTAGTAGTTTTCAGAACTTCTTGAGCCAAAGTTAAACCTTTTGTAGCCTTGACAATAGAACCAGGAAAAGTTGTAAATAATGAAGAAGCACAGATTTTGAGATGGAAGACACAGGATAGCAAGGAAGAAAGGTGGGCATGTCAATGTTGGTTTGAAATGAAAAACTATGTGAAGCCTCAAATGACATATAAGAAGGAGCAGGGAATGGTGGTACCCAACTTTAGTCCCTGCGCTAAGGAGGCAGAGGCAGGCAGATCTCTGTGAGGTCGAGGCCAGCCTGGTCTACATAATGAATTCCAGGCCAGCTGAAACTACAGGGAGACCCTGTCTATAAACAACAACAGCAACAATGAAGAAAGAATGCTTGTGGTACAGTTTGAATTATAAAATGACCGAGGAGGAAGCAAAATCTTTGATAATAAGAAGAAAATCATATCTAAGTCTTACAGCTATAATATTTAGAGAACAAGAAGAGGATCAAATTTATAATCTTTAGCTACATTTTGCAGGAAAAAAATGTCCAATAGCAGGAGGCATATCTTCCTTTCTGTCCTCTCTCTGCAGTTACACCCAGCAAGCCTTGAATCCCTCTCCCCACACACCCTTGGTGGCTAGATCTCCCTTTCTCATCACATCTTCATACAGAAGACAGAAGAAAATGTTCCAAGAATGAGTTGGGTGAAAATACAGTTTCAGTTCCTGGGGTCAGCATCTTTTGTGGGTAATTTCGGTGGCACCTACTGTGCCTTGACTCCCCCAATCTCATTCACTCCCAGCTCCCCCACCCCATCTCTCCTCCTAGCCTGGGCACTGGCCCATTTCTTGTCTTGGCACCCCCAGACCTCTGGACTGGCCTCTTGAACCAGACTCCTTACTGCTTCCTGATCCTTTGCATTCAGACCAACCCAATTCCTCCCTGTAGTCCCTGGGCACCCTTGGGACTCTTCCCGTCCCCGACTCCATTTGCTTCCCTGGGCAGCACAGCCACCAACTTACTGGGGCCAGCATCTTTCCTGAGCCCTGGTCCCA